CCCTCCTTTATTTTTTGTTTTTATTTTTTTGAGACAGGGTCTCACTCTACCCAGGCTGGAGTGCAGTGGCATGATTATGTCCCCTGTGGCCTCAATTTCCTGGACTGCTCTCACCCCTGCCTCCTGAGTAGCTAGGACATAGGCAAGTGCCAGCATGCCAGCTTTTTTTTTTTTTTTTTTTTCTGAGGCAAAGTTTTGTTCTTGTTGCCCAGGCTAGAGTGCAATGGTGTGATCTCAGCTCACTGCAACCTTTGCCTCCGAGGTTCAAGCAGTTCTCCTTCCTCAGCCTCCGATGTAGGGAGGATCACAGGCATGCACCACCACACCCAACTAATTTTTTTTAGTGGAGACGAGGTTTCACCATGATGGCCAGGCTCATCTCGAACTTCTGACCTCAGGTGATCCACCCACCTCGGCCTCCCAAAGTGCTGAGATTACAGGCGTGAGCCACCGTGCCCGGCTTACTTTTTGTATTTTGTATGCCCAGGCTGGTCTGGTCTGGAACCCCTCCACCTCCGCCTTGCACCCAGAGTGCTGGGATTACAGGCTTTAGTTGCAGGGGCCTGGCCTCCCTTCTTTGTGTGTTTAGTAACTTTGTATGGTATTTAACTTCTATACTTTGTTTCCTTTTTATGTGAATTTAGTTTTCCTCAACTTTTAGTAGGAAGCTAGTTAAGATAAAGTTTGTAATTTTATACAACTCCTTTTTCTGCTAAAAAATTATGGCAGCTTTTTTCTAAGGATTCCTGACTCTGTCCTTGTGTCCCATGTTAATCTTTTTCTTTATTCTGTCCTGTTAATTTTGATTCATCTCCCAGCAGTGGCTCTTTGTAGCAGGCTCTGTCCTGGAAAGGATCTCTGGCTGGTTAGTGTCAAAGGTTCATGGGGGTTAAACTCCTCTGGCCCCATTATGTCTTATCTTGGTTCCCTGCCACTTGTGTACTACTGGCGTGGGCAAACCTCCTGGTGTGCTGTGGTGTGCTGTGGTTCTGTAATTGGCTGCTGTACCTTCTGGGTAGTACTTTTTCGATGTTGGAAATTCTCCTGTTTTTAGGTCCTTTAATGAGGCTGGTTTGCTTTTCACATAGGTGTTATAGCAGTAGGGCTTGTGGCTGTGGTATTTTGTCCCCACCAACTTGTATTTTGGGGTTCTTGGGATAACTTGTCATTTACCACTAGTTATGTGGTAAATGTCTTTGCTATCTAGTTGTTAAGTGATTATGTAGGATCCAAGAAAATCCCAAAACATTTCTAGCTCCACTTTTCCAGCATCTGCTAGATCTTCTTGCCCTATTCTTTTTTTTTTTTTTTTTTTTTAAGTAGAGAGGGGTCTCACCATGTTGCCCAAGCTGGAGTGCAGTGGCTATTCACAGGCATGATCCCCACTACTGATCAGCACGGGAGTTTTGACCTGTTCTGCTTCCGACCTGGGCCTGTTCACCCCTCCTTAGGCAACTTGGTGGTCCCTCCGCTCCTGGGAGGTCACCATATTGATGCCAAACTTAGTGCGGACACCCTATCTGCATAGCGCACTACAGCCCAGAACTCCTGGGGTCAAGCGATCCTCCCACCTCAGCCTCGCGAGTAGCTGGGACTACAGGCACACGCCACCGCACCCAGCTTCTTGCCCTGTTATTAAAGAGTTTGCTATACATGGTTTAGTTTTTTCCTTAATATTTTTTTCTTGATATTTAAAATATATCTTTATGAATATTTATTATGATGCAGTTAGGGCAGTTGAGGGATATTTACCTTAAGTCTTTAGGCATTTGTATTTTTAAGAACTTTATGTAAATAAATATGGTAGATTTTTTTTGTCCTGTGATGCTGGATTTTGTCTCTGCATTGATGTGACTAAGTTTCTTATTTCTCATTAGGGTGGTTTTTCTAATGTCTTGAAGTCTAATTATCAAACTTTACAACTGTGTGTGAAGTGGAAGTAAATAAATTACAGGTTTTGAGGGAGAGGAACTTTGCTTTTACTAGTCGGAGGCTTTTTGCTTTCTCCTGAATTGTCAACGCTGTGACAATTGCTGCATAGGCAAGTTCATAGCCAAGGCAGAGGGAAATATGGGGCAAGAATGCAGTTTCTTCAGTAATCTTCTGTGTCACAGAATTGAACATTTATTGCTAAGAAAATAGGGAACTTCTTTTAAAATATATTTTTTGAGTAGATTAGTTTATTTGTAGAAATACAGGCAGCCCTTGCTATGCAGGATAAGTAAAACAACAAAATAATCATGCAAGCTGAAACTGCACAAAGCAGTTTTAATAAATAGTGGGAAAATTACAGTTGTTTTGTAATCTTTAAAATTTTTTTGTTAAAACACTGAAAACTGTCAATTACAAAAGTATAGGGAAATAAAATAGTAAATTTTACTATAGCTATTTACTATAGTATAACTCGAAACACTAGGAACATTGAGAATTAAAGTATTTCATTTCTTTATGAAAAGCTTATCAATAGTTTAAACAGTACCTCTCTGTGTCTTTTCTATGACTTGGTGACTTTCAACATTTTATCCTTTGCACTTTCAATGTCATGAAATACCTCCTAGAGTTTCTTTAATGTGAAGTAGTTTCCTGGAGTCACTTCCTCTGGGACATTGCCATTCTTTCTATCATAACCAGTTTCCTCACTGGTGTTGATAAGTTTCCCTGGCTGTGTATCCAGAGGCTCACAACTCTGTCAGCCTTGCCACAGTCAGCATTTTCTTCTGTAGCTTCATACATGTTGGATTCAAATTTCACTTCTAACATTATCACTTTTCATTTCTTTGCTGCACTTCATCTTTGTTGACCAGCCCCCTGTTTGGATTATTCATATTTGTGAAAAGTTTTTTGAGGTTTATAACTGTAAGAGAGGCAATGCATTGCAGTCTTGGCTGTTTGCTGTCCAGTGACCAGTCACCAACAGACAATGAAATTTGTCCTTTATGTAATTAGTCCCAGTAATGTATGATAACTCAAATTTGAACCATGTTATGGGGGAATGGTAATTAACAAAACCTTGATATAAACCATGGTAATTGAAATTTGTGCATATTAGGACCATTCAAGGCAAGAACTCTACCTGTAATGTAAAAAAGCACAAATTTTTGGATTTGGTAAAAATGGTAAAGATAATAATGAGAGTCTGAGAAATTTATGCAGTAATGCGATGTTCAAAAAATATTTTTTAAGAAGTTAAGATTAAGGAATTATAAAGAAAATCCATAAAGAGGTGTGTGTTTATACATTAATTTTGGGGTAAAGGTCTGAAAGGACAAGGTTTTAGTTCCGTGATCTTACTTTTCTACGTTATTGAATATTCATATGACTAAAAGGACCTGAGTAATTTCTTTTGACACCTGATTGGATCCCTCTCACAAATCCTCCCCTGTAGATGACTGACTGGCTTGTTCCTTTTTGCAGCAGAGGGAGTAGTGGTGTAGGTGAGGCCTGCATTTATTCTTTGCAGATAAATGGAGAAGGGAGGAGGGGTGGAAAAGGTTACACAAGTGGCTAAAGGGCTGACTTAAGGTTTTTATGTGCAAATTTTATAGCTAGAGGGAGAAAACCTCTCCAAATACGTTTATTGTAAACTTTTAGGACATATTGAAGAGTATAAAGAAATAAAAATATAAAATCACTTGTAGTTCCATTACTTAGATGAAACTGTTTCATCACTGTTAATATTTTGGTGTATATCCAGCCATACTCTTCATTTTCTATACATGCATATAGACTTTTGCACTTTATACAAACCATATTGAAGTGGCATTATACTGTATATGCTTCCTATGTGGATTTCCAGGGTACACACAGATTTCTAAAGTGTTCCCTTGTGTAAAATTTAAAATACATTTAAAACAAAAAGCAAACAAACCCAGGATAGAGGCCAGACAAGTACAATAAACTTAATATACTTATCACCCAACTTCAGTGATTTCAGTACATGGGCAATCTTATTTCATCCATATCCACCTACTTTTGCATTATTTTGAAGCCTCTTCTAGGTAGGTATTTCAGTTAACAACTTGACATTTTGCCAAATTAACCTTCCAGAAAAGTGTCACCCATTTATACCTGACAGAGATCAGATTTTAAAAGCCATTTATTTATATATTTATATTTATATATATATTTATTTATTTATTTTTGAGGTGGAGTTTTGCTCTTGTTGCCCAGGCTGCAGTGCAATGGTGTGATCTTGGCTCACTGCAACCTCTGCCTCCTGGGTTCAATCGATATCTCTTGCCTCAGCCTCCTGAGTAGCTGGGATTACAGGCAACCACCACCATGCCCAGCTAATTTTTTTGTATTTTTAGTAGAGAAGGGGTTTCGCCATGTTGACCAGGCTGGTCTTGAACTCCTGACCTCAGGTGATCCACCTGTCTCAGCCTCCCAAAGTGCTGGGATTACAGGTGTGAGCCACTATGCCCAGCCTAAAAATTCTTTTAAAAATCTTAGTATTACGAGTTAGATACATAGTATCATTTTCCTCTGGTAATACGAAAAATCCTAACCCAGTGAATTTAGCCGTGCTTATTCTTTAGCATCAAACTTTTAGTTTTCTCATCAGTATATATCCCTTGGAAAAAATGTGACTGTTGATAGGGGACCAAATAACTTATTTTCCAAACTGGGACACTTTGATATTGAAAGGCTGTACTGTTACTATAATGCCAGTATAATGGATATAAACCAGGACTGTGTTTTGGCACAGCTGTATTGTATGCTCATCCTATTAGATTATGTATATAAAGTATATATACACATGATCACTATGTCACATAGTCAATAAGTGGTAGCATTTTTTTAAGTGTTTAATATATGCCCATGCATGGATATGTATTAAAATCTTCCATTTAAAGGGGGTATTTTGAATTGGTAACTCAGAATGTCCTAAGTTATCATTCCTATGTTTTTTTTTTTGGAGCTGACAGTGATCATTATTATTATTTTTAATACTATAGCATTAATTTTTATAATTAAGACTTTGTATTGATAACTTGCAGCTTGAGAATGCTGGAGGAGACCTTAAGGATGGCCGCCATCACCGTGAAGGAGCTGTTGTCATTCTGGATGCTGGTGCTCAGTACGGGAAAGTCATTGACCGAAGAGTGAGGGAACTATTCGTGCAGTCTGAAATTTTCCCCTTGGAAACACCAGCATTTGCCATAAAAGAACAAGGATTCCGGTAGACTTTTCACTAATCTTTTTATGAGGAGATTGAGCTTAGATTGTGGAATATATGTTAATTTGCTTGAGCACTGAATTTTTCTATGAAAATGAGATATGGAATGGTTTTATGAGAAATTTCCTATGGCTGTGATTAGGGGAGAAAAAGGAAAAATTTAAGCCTTCAGTTTAAAAAGATTAATTTTAATTGCACAGTTTAAAGAGCTTATTATCATTTGCCTATTTTATGTTTTATAGGATTTGTGGGTCAGAGTTAGATGTAGCTATTGTGGCTTTTCATTTACCTGAAAGCATTTAATCAAAGTAGGAAGACGGCTAGAATACTCCAAAGAGAAGAAATCTGTGTACAATAAGTGTTTTTGCTTCTTATTCCAACAGTCTAGTTTCTAAAGTATGGAAAGGATTTCTTTAATATAAGGGCTAATTTTGATAGATTGTACCCTTAGAACTGGTCAAAATAACAGCCAGTTTACAGTTTCTCTCTTTAACAGTTATTTTTGGTTAATGTCATGTTTTCTTTTTTCTTTCTTTTTTTTTTTTGAGACGAAGTCTCACCTTGTTACCCAGGCTGGAGTGTAATGGCATGATTTCAGCTCACTGCAACCTCCACTTCTACTTCCCGGGTTTAGGCGATTCTCCTGGCTCAGCCTCCTGAGTAGCTGGGACTACAGGCACACGCTACCACTCCTGGCTAATTTTTATACTTTTAGTAGACACAGGGTTTCATCATGTTGGCCAGGCTGGTCTCAAATTCCTGACCTCAGGTGATCTGCCTGCCTGGGTCTCCCAAAGTGATGGGATTACTGGTGTGAGCTACCTCACCCAGCCAATGTCATGCTTTTTAATGTTTGTTGTTTTTTAAGTTAAGACTTATGTAGAAGCAAGCAACTGCAGTTTATGTCCTTAATTGTCTCTTAAACTTTAATATTAGATGTACTATGATTCTCCCAAAATTTAAATTTTTTTCTTAAAAAATTGTCTTTCCAGTGTCAAATTGGTTAAAAGAACTTTTAAATACTTCACAGACATGTGTGCATTTATCCTGTGATTTCTTGGTTCTGAAGTAGAGTGAATTAGAAATCAGAAAAGGCAGGTTTAAATTTAACTCTGTTCTAGGGACACGGATAGAAAATGACTCTCTCTTTTAAAATGGAATTTTAGAGTAATAAGGAGACCCTTGAGTTTATCTAATTCAGCTGACTTTATTTACCAGCAAGAACTAATTTTGTTTTTATTTCTTGAGACAGAGTATTGCTCTGTTGCTAGGATGGAGTGCGGTGGTGTGATCTTGGCTCACTGCAACCTTTGCCTCCTGGGTTCAAGTAATTCTGCCTCAGCCTCCTGAGTAGCTGGGATTACAGGTGTCCACTACCATGCCCAGCTAATTTTTAGTAGAGATGAGGTTTCACCATGTTGGCCAGGATGGTTTCAATCTCCTGATCTCCTGATCTGCCCCCTTCAGCTTCTCAAAGTGCTGGCCGAGAGCTAGTTTTTTAGAGGGATCAAAAAAACTGTGAGAAATCTGAATGGCTGTCATACCAAAGCTCCATCATTCCTCTCACCCAAAACAAACAAAAAATCCCCAGGAATCTCACACCAACTAAATAGATACTAGAATGGGATAGCCAAATACTTGTCAAGAGAAATCTAATGGTGTTTCATGTCACTTGATCATAAACAGTGTCTAGGTTCAGTTTGTATCTAGAACTTCTCTTATGTAGCAAGGGAATAGGAACTATACCAATGTGACTTTTGTTACTGTAATCTTTACTGTAGAATTACCTGTTTGATCACCCCTTTTATAGAACATTTTGTGACATGAGAGACATCTTAACCCACCTACTTTTATTTTTATTTTCTTGAGACAGAGTCTCACTCTGTCGCTCAGGCTGGATTGTAGTGGCGTGATCTCAGCTCACTGCAACCTCTGCCTCCCAGGTTCAGGTAGTTTTCCTGCCTCAGCCTCCTGAGTAGCTGGAATAAACAGGTGCGCTCCACTATGCCTGGCTAATTTTTGTGTTTTTAATAGAGGCGGGGTTTCACCATGTTGGCCAGGCTGGTCTCAAACTCCTGACCTCAGGTAATCTGCCTGCCTCAGCCTCCCAAAGTGCTGGGATTACAGGAGTTAGCCACCCCATGCGGCCCACATATTTTTAGAAGCTTGATCTGTCTGATACATAAAATTGATATTTATAATGAATTCTGGCTTACTGGGCCTTGTAATTGCAAGTTAGTTTCAAAATAGCAGGGTAGAAATGGAAGGCTCAATGGGTGATTAGCTCTTAAAGATTTGTTGAGATAAGACTTTTCATATTTTCATAATTGGTTTAAGTACTGCTTGAATTTTATACTTAGAACTAAGTCCATGACTTTTTTTTTTTTTTTAAATAGCACTAAGAATCTTACATCCTTGAGTTCTGGGTACTGGGCAGTCCCATTGTGGTTATCCTTTATAAAACTAAGTATAATAGATTCTAGAGATCTTGATTATTAAGTATGTTCTATAGAATTTTAGCTTCTGTATTTTTAAGGAGTTAGGTTATTGATCTACCTTTAGGGGTAACCCTATCCCCGTTTAGAATTGTTATCTTAAAAATCTGGTATTTATCATCTGAGTAGGTTGTCTTCCATCTCTCTTTTATAGGACATATGCTAGCAAATGTTTACCACATCTCAGGTTGCCCATACAAAGTTCAAAAAGTGCTTTTGAGCTCACTGAAATTGCTATTTTTTTTTTTTTTTTTTGAGTCGGAGTTTTGCTCTTGTTACCCAGGCTGGAGTGCAATGGCACGATCTTGGCTCACCGCAACTTCCACCTCCTGGGTTCAGGCAATTCTCTTGCCTCAGCCTCCTGAGTAGCTGGGATTACAGGCACATGCTACCATGCCCAGCTAATGTTTTGTATTTTTAGTAGAGACGGGGTTTCACCATGTTGACCAGGATGGTCTCGATCTCTTGACCTTGTGATCCACCCGCCTCAGCCTCCCAAAGTGCTGGGATTACAGGCTTGACCCACTGCGCCTGGCGCTATTTTTTTTTTTTTTAACAAAAAGACCTAGCTTGCTGAGTATTTTTTTTTCTTCTCAACCTTTTTTTTTTCTTTTTTCTTTACATTCTAAAGAGAAGTGCTTTGTTGTTTTTCATTTTTAACAGTTTTTTGTAGACATGGGGTTTTGCCATATTGCCCAGGCTGGTCTCAAGCTCTTGGGCTCAAGCTATCCACCTGCCTCTGTCTCCCAAAGTGCTGTAATTACAGATGTGAGCCTCCATGCCCAGCCTTGCTGAGACTTTTTTTTTTTTTTTAATACATTTGACTTTAGTTGTATTATTCTTCTGGATATAAGTCTAATATACTGTGTATCTTTTTATATGACAGACAACCACTAATTAAAAAGTGTGTTGTAATCCAAAGTTGTAAGTAAATTTCGATTAGATCTTACAGTGCCTTTTTCGTTGAAATACAGATAAATCAGATTTATCTTCAAATTCAAAATGAGTTAGTACCTTAAATTGAATAAAGGGCCAAAGTATACCTTTATTGTATGCATGGGCATGTGTGGCAAACTGGAGAGCATGTGCAGCTTGAAGGTGCAAGCCTATTTATGATTCCAGTTGGTTGTAGTTATGCAGGAGTGAAGGCCCAATGTTTCCAGCTTTCTTTTTCCTAAAGAAAATCCAGAAATCCAGATTTTTATGAAATTCCTGATATTAAAATGTTTTAAATTTTTTGAGTGAATACTGATGACCAGTTTAGATATATTAGTAGCCAGGAGAGAAACATAGCTGTCAGTTTGCAGTTTTCCCCTATAATACTGGGTTGACTCCCAAGTTAGTCCATGCTCTGCAAATTGTAAGGTAGCTAAATATACTACTGGCCTAATTTCTGAGAGCAGGGCATATGGGGCAGAATTGTTATTAGCTCCCTTTCCTGGGCTCGGGGAAAATTTTTGGGGATGATGGATGCTATAAACAGGTAAAATTAGGTAATTTATACTTTCTATTCTGCCATCTTTAGTTGTATTTTTCTCTGAGCCATCCAGAGCCTTCATAATACCTTCAGTTGTTCTTCTGTGACCTGCTTTACTCCTAGGCTCTGAGAAGGCCTGTGTTTTCAACATCCCCATAATTCTTACGTACTTCTTTATTGATGAGGAAACAAGTAAAACAAATTCATAGTAAGTTTCACATATAGAAACATTGGTATTATCTGTTTGTAAGTTTGTGTTTGTTAACAAGTAAATGCTGAATTGATAGACTTCTAAACATTTCGGTAAAGTACAGTAAAAATAATTAAACCATGTTGGATGATAATTAGCTATGACAGAATTGGAGTTTGCTACATTCTACGAAAAAAAAGCAATATTTCTGGATCTGTGTTGTTTCCCTCAGTGGTACGAAGGAGCTAGGGCATAGACCTTGGATAAAAATTAACAGAGATTCTTCACTGATTGTTCCTTAAATCACAGTGCTATTATCATCTCTGGAGGACCTAATTCTGTATATGCTGAAGATGCTCCCTGGTTTGATCCAGCAATATTCACTATTGGCAAACCTGTTCTTGGAATTTGCTATGGCATGCAGGTATGTCAACAAATTTGATTTGAAAGCTTACTTATTTTATTCTGTTTGTGACTCATACTGTATTAGTATTTTTTCTTTTTAGGATGTTTAGGATACTTAGTTGGATGAGATAACTTGTGCGTATTACAACTGTGTGAATTGCCACGCTAGCATGGCAGAACTGGCTTGATAGGGAATCTATTTTCAGAATAGTAAGTACACTACTTCCTGTAACAGAACACTATCTGTTAACACTATCCATTAAAAAAATCCTTGGATGTGCAAATATACATAAAATTTTCCGAAATTGTACCCAGAGCTCCTGTGTATCTTTATCCAATTCTCCAATTGTTGACATTTTTGAACCATTTGAAAGTCACAGACGTGATGCCCTATTGCCTGTGTTTCCTAAGTATTAGGACACTCTTCCTGCATAACCACAGTACAAGTATCCAGAGCAGAAAAGTTAACATTGACTCATTGTTAGAATCAAATCTACAGACTCCTTCACATTTCAGTTTGTCTGATTAATATCTCTTATAGGCCACAGATCAATCAGAACTATGTGTTGTATTTAGTTGTTTCTTTAGACTCTTTCAGTCTGGAACAGTTCCTCAGTGTTTCCTTCTCTTTCATGACCTTAAGAGTATATATAAAAAGTATGTTAGTTATTTTGTAGAACATTTCCCAACTTTGGTTTCTGTGATGTTTCCTCATTGTTGGATTCAGGTTATGAACTTTTGGCAGGAGTGTCACAGAAGTGCTGCTGTGCTTCTCAGAACATCTTATCAGGAGGCACATGGTGTGGATTTGTGGCATAACGGGTAATGTTAACTTGGATTATTTGGTTAAGATGATGTCTGTCAGTTGACTCCACTGTAACAGAAACGAGGCAGGCAGATCATGAGGTCTGGAGTTCAAGACCAGCCTGGCCAACATAGTGAAACCCCGTCTTTACTAAAAATACAAAAAATAAGTTGGGCGTGGTGGTACTTGTAATGCCAGCTACTTGGGAGGCTGAGGCAGGATTGTTGCTTGAATCTGAGATGGGGAGGTTGCAGTGAGTGGAGATCTTGCCACTGCACTCCAGCCTGGGTCAGTGTAAGACTCCGTCTCAAAAAAAAAGTTTATGTACCTCTGTTTTATTACAAAAGTAAGAATAGGCCAGGTGCGGGGTCTCATGCCTGTAATCCTAGCACTTTGGGAGGCCAAGGCATGCAGATCACCTGAGGTCAGGAGTTTGAAATCAGCCTGGCCAACATGGTGAAACCCCATCTGTATTAAAAATACAAAAATTAGTGGGATGTGGTGGCGGATGCCTGTAATCCCAGCTACTTGGGAGGTTGAGGCAGGAGAATTACTTGAACCTGGGAGGTGGCGGTTACAGTGAGTTGAGATTGTGTCATTGTAGTCCAGCCTGAGCAACAAGAGTGAAACTTTGTCTCCAAAAAAAAAAGCAAGAATAAGTAGACTTACTGAGATGTTGAGATAAGATACTCTTCTATGAGTCAATGTTTAGAAATTGATTTTGGCTACTTTGATACCTTTTTGCTTTTTTCTGTTTTTTACTTTTTATTAATTAAGTTTTTAGAGCAGTTTTAGGTTCACAGCAAAATTAAGAAGAGATATCTCAGATACCTCCAACCCCCACACATGCATAGCTTCTTTTATTACCAACATCTCACACCAGAGTGATACATAATGTAACCTACATCAACACATCTTTATTCCCAAAGTCCCTAGTTTACATTAGGGTTCATTCTTGATTTTTGTGCATTCTGTTGTTTTGGACAAATGTATAATGGCATATATCTACCATCGTAATATTATACATAATATTTTCATTGCCCAATCCTTTGTGCTTTACCTATTAATCCCCCAAATCCTGGCAACCACTGATATCTCTTTATGGTCTTTATAGTTTTGCCTTTTTCCAAATGTCATATAGTTGGAATCACACAGTATGTAGCCTTTCCAGATTGGCTTCTTTCACTTAATAATGTGTATTTAAAGTTCTTCCATGTCTTTTCAGGCTGGGTAGCTCATTTCTTTTTAGCACTGAATAATATTCCATTGTATGGGTGTATCACAGTTCCTTCACTCACTAACAGTTTACTCATCTACTAATTTCTTGGTTACTTCCAAGTTTTGGCAATTGTGGATAAAGCTGCTGTGAACATCCATGCACAGGTTTTTGTGTGGACTTAAGTTTTCAACCTTTTCAGTAAATTATAAGGAGAGCAATTACTAAATCGTATGTAGTATGATTCGTTTTTTTTCCTCCACCCCCTCCCCTTTTTTTTGTAAGAAACTGCCAGACTGTGTTCCAAAGTGGGTGTTCAATTTTGCATTTTATAGTAAAAGCCTCTTTTTTTCCCTTTCAGTGTTCTTTGAAAAGTGTTTAATTATGAATATGACTTGGAAAAAATAAAGATTTTTCCATCTAGTAGTCTTAGAGGAGCCTGCATCCTGATTGAGTTGAATATTGGAAGTTGGCTGGCTGGCTTTTTTTTTTTGTCCCAGGATGTAATATATTTATATAATTTATTGGATTTTCTTTGTCAGAGTAGTCAATCATATAGCACAACTTATAATTAAATTAAATGGTTGTTAGTGTATTGAGAGGTATTGCAACATTTTCTAAGGAAGAGTCTCACAAGGTATATTTTTCAGGCCTACTTACAGTGAAATACAGCTGAAAAATGCTTCCTTAATTTAAGAGATAGTGGCTTAGTGTTTCCCTATTATGTCAATTTCTCATATAATTATGAGAAGGCCAACTTGTTCTGTCATTCAATAGGATATCTTATAACCGAAGTCAGGCCTGCTGATGTTAAATGCATAAAAATTTTTGCCTTTATTATCATCTCAACTTTCATAATAAGATAACGGAATATGCTGATCTTGGTTATTTGGCCAGAAATTATCCTTTCATAAAATAATGATCTAGATGATGCCATCTAGCTAATATGTTGTTTGTAAAGGGCTGCCACTTAGTGACTAGGTTGGGTAATTTTAGGACCTAAGTGTGTACCTTTGCCCCCCATGACATTCTGAAATTTGAGCTATTCAGCGTCTTTTATACCGTCTTTTCCTATTAACTGGACTCTCCTGACAGAGTCTTTCTAATTGCTTCCTGGTGATTCTTTGCTTTAGAAGAAACATGTCTATACTGCTCCCTTTGTATCTCTTACTGATTTACACCACCCAGCATATAAAATAGAATATTGTAGAGCTTTTGAAAGTTTCCTTATATGTTCCATTCACATTCTTCTCTTCCTATTACAGGTGACCAACTTTCCTGAATTTTATTCATTCCCCTTTTAAAAATAGCTTTAGGCCGGGCGCGGTGGCTCAAGCCTGTAATCCCAGCACTTTGGGAGGCCGAGGCGGGTGGATCACAAGGTCAAGAGATCGAGACCATCCTGGTCAACATGGTGAAACCCCATCTCTACTAAAAATACAAAAAAGTAGCTGGGCATGCTGGCACATGCCTGTAATCCGAGCTACTCAGGAGGCTGAGTCAGGAGAATTGCCTGAACCCGGGAGGCGGAGGTTGCGGTGAGCCGAGATCGCGCCATTGCACTCCAGCCTGGGTAACAAGAGCGAAACTCCGTCTCAAAAAAAAAAAAAATAGCTTTATACATATGTTTATATTGCTAAATAATATATTAGTTTTGCCTATTGAACTATATATAAGTGAAGTCATACTACTTGTATTATTTTCAACTTTGTTATTTTTACTATTGAATTTGTTTGAATATAGCATGTTACTTTTGCATTCTAGTGTTCATCATGTCAGCTTTCTAGCTTTTTTCTATTATAGACAATATCGCCATTAATATTTTTGTTATTGTTTTCTGCTCTTATACATACACAAAATTTTCTATATCCCCGACAATCCTTGACTTAATCAGATTTTCTTTTTTTTTTTTTTGTATTTTCATATCTAGAAAGGTATTAAATGGGGGTCACATTGTAGTGTTAATTTTCCTTGTTATTTTAAGATTCACCTGTTTATTTGCCATTTGTGTCTGCTTTACTGTAGACATTTGTTCATTTTTATATTGAATTGTCTTTGATACTGTGTTGTGGGAGCCTTTATATATCCTGGATTCTAAACTTTTACCAACTGTATATATTGCAGATACCTTCTGGATTATGGCTTGTCTCTTCACTCTTTGTGGTTTCACTTGGCTTCTTTATATCCTCCCACGAGATTTTTTCGAATTATTTTTAATGGGCAGAATTTCCTACCCTTTTTCCTTTCCCAATCTAAAATTTATAAAACCTTGACATATAAGAAAGATAAGTGGAGCTGATCTGATTGGGTAGTAGACCTGGAGTACTATATGGGTTTCTTTGAGGCAGTTAGAACCTTGGGGTTTATCTGGAACCCATACTGGCCCCATTTCTAAGTCCCTTGGGCTGTGAAGAGATCTGAAGACATGGAGGGGAGAACGTAGTCTGTTTTGATAATCACGCTAGTTAAATGGACTGGAGTAGAAACTGAAGGTGAAAAAATTAGACAAGGGCCAGGTAATGTTGTCTTGTATTTAATATAAGGAACTTGGATTTTATCCTGTAGACTAGGCATCAGTAAACTATTGCCTATAGTCTAAATCTGGACTACTGCCTGTTTCTTCATGACCTGCAAGCAAAGAATGATTTTTACATTGTTAAATGATTGGGAAATTGAAAAATATATATATTTTATGACGTGTGAAAATTCAAATGTGTGTCCATAAATAAGGTTTTATTGGAACAATCACACTCATTTCTTTATAAGTATTGTCTATGGATGCTTTTGAGCTACAGTGGCAAGAACCGAATAGTTGCTACAGACACAGTATGGCCTGGAAAGGCTAATATTTATTCTCTGGCCCTTTACAGAGAGTTTACCAACCCTTGCTGTAAATGCTAGAGGGCTAATGAAGAATTTAATCATAGACTAACACAATCATCTTTATATTGTAGTAGCTAGCATTAGTAGATCTCTAGAATATTGCTGGAAGATGGACAAGACTAGAGTCAAGGGAGCTGATTAGACGGTAGTGGTGTTTCTTAAATTGCATGTTAGTGTGCTACCGGAAAAAGTTTTTTTCTGAGTCTTTAGTTTGATAAATACTGTATTAAACAAATACTAGCAGATGTCTTTACTGCTGGACTGAACTCAAACCTTTATTGTGGGACAGTTTATTGTGAATACCTAAAAGGAGAATGTAGAGGGCACCATTTGCTAATGGTTTTGAAGAATATGCTACTCTTGAGTTATGGGAGTCAGCATTTATTTAAGTCACCTGTCTTACCTGTCAGAGGTTGGCTCAACCTGCCTCATGTATTGTTAAGGCAGATATCTTCTGATACCTGTTGTGGAACAGATGCACTAAGATGAGTAGGAGTGTTTATACCAGGGCAGATTTAATGTTTACAGAAATCTTGTGTATATTTATCTGATGTGGGAAGTTTGGGACGTGCAAATGATAAATAAGAAAAGACGATTGATTAACATAGGAGGTGCCTAATTGAAGAGACCATTTGAAATCAGAGTCTATTAAGTGTATCTGACTTAATTGAAAGGCCAGATTTTCTTGCTTATCCCATCTCTACAGCGTAGACTTCGGCAGACTTTCAGACTATTCCTTTGGATCCAAAGATTAAATAGCTTGGAGGAATTTATATCTATCTAACTCTTGTTCTGGTACAAGGTTCTTGTTGTCTGCTGTAACTTTTTCTAAACTCAGAATATCTTTTGAAATGCTTTTAAATCAAACTCAGATGTAAGTAATTAAGAAATCTCTATTTTTAAGCAGATGAATTAAAGTACACTAAGTGGAAAATCTACCAGTGTTTAACAGAAATTAACCCCAGCTCAAATTTCGAATCCAATTTTGTTTTATAACAATGCCTGATAATAACTGTATAATTAATTATATATAACAATACCAAATAATCTACATTTATTAAACTCTTTTTATTTTGGGGATGCAGATATATCAGGTATCCTGAAAACAAATATAAATTATTAAATCAGTATAACAAAATGAGTATTTATCTTTTGATTTCTATTGACATTATTTTTTTTCTTTGAACAGATGATGAATAAAGTATTTGGAGGTACTGTCCACAAAAAAAGTGTTAGAGAAGATGGAGTCTTCAACATTAGTGTGGATAATACATGTTCATTATTCAGGTATTATATTTTTAGATGAATAAGAACAGTAGTAATTAATTTAGAGTTGATACTGTTATTTTTCACAATTGGAGATTCCATAGTTCATAAACAAAATTAAGGCTGTAACAGTGACCGTAAGTGTAATTGTCATATTTGTCTTCCAGTTGAGTGTCAAGACAACATGGGATGGTGATGATGTTAATACAGAATAAGGAAGGCATTTAAGAAATTTGAAAGTGCCTGTGCAGTCATGGAACCCTATTTGGAATTGTATATATTGCGATACCAACATTTGTGCTTTCCCTTTTAACTTTTTGATCTGTTTTTAAAGATTTTTTTTTTTTTGAGACTGAGTCTTGCTCTGTTGCCCAGGCTGGAGTGCAGTGGCACGATCTTGGCTCACTGCAACCTCTGCCTCCTGGGTTCAAGTGATTCTCCTGTCTCAGCCTCCCAAGTAGCTAGAGTTACAGGCACTGTTACCACGCCCGTTGTATTTTTAGTAGAGATGGGGTTTCACCATGTTGGCCAGGATAGTCTCCATCTCCTGACCTCATGATCGGCCCTTCTCGGCCTCCCAAAGTGCTGGGATTATAGGCAGGAGCCACTGTACCTGGCCCAGGGATTATTATTTTTCAAAGGAAGAATAAAAAAATAATATTTTTTTTTTTTTTTGGAGACAGAGTCTTGGTCTGTCACCAGGTGCCAGGCTGGATTGCAGTGGCGCTATCTCGGCTCACTGCAGCCTGTGCCTCCCAGGTTCAAGCAGTTCTCCTGCCTCAGCCTCCCAAGTAGCTGGGACTACAGACATGTGCCAACACACCCAGCTAATTTTTATATTTTAGTAGAGACGGGGTTTCACTATGTTGGCCAGGATGGTCTCGATCTTTTGACCTTGAGATCTGCCCACCTTGGCCTCTCTAAGTGCTGGGATTACAGGCATGAGCCACTATTCCCAGCCTTCAAAATAATTTTTTAAACTTAAGTACTCATTGTCAAAATGAGTTTGAAATCCAGTGCTTGTTCAGCTTCGTAATGGAGACATGTTGACACTTAAATTCATCCTTATTTCACATGACTAATCTTGACAACAATTTCAGGAATCTTATATGTAATATACTAGAAGCTTTAAACATGAAGTTAAGATTTGATATTTCATTGTCTGTGTTTCTAGTTTTCTAAAATTCTGGGACTCTGTCACAACCTACACTATTCCTAAACAACAATGATGACAACAACAAACTCCAAAATATCTTTTTGGCATTAATATACTTTATCTTCTTGCTTTATTTTTGATTTACATTTTTATTTCTTAATATTATTTATTTTTAAATTTTATTTTATTTTTGAGACAGTCTCACTCTGTTGTGCTCAGGCTGGAGTGCAGTGGCACAATCTTGGCTCACTGCAACCTCTGCCTCTCAGGTTCAAGTGATTTTTCCCTCCTGTCTTCTGAGTAGCTGGGATTACAGGCAAAATTTTTTGTATTTTTAGTGGAGGTGAGGTTTCACCATATTGGCTAGGCTGGTCTTGAACTCCCAACCTCAGGGGATCTGCCTGTCTTGGTCTCCCAAAGTGCTGGGATTATAGGTGTGAGCCACTGCTCCTGGCCATTCCTTAATGTTATTTAATGTCGTAAACAGTATCTTTTTATGGTTGATTTGTTTGAATCAGGGTCCAGAGAAAGTCTAAACATTACATTTGATTAATGTTACTTAACTCTCTTAAGTAACACTTTCTTAACTAAGTATTGTTAATTTGTTTGGCACCACAAGTCCACATTGATACTGGGTTGTAATTGTTTCTAACACTTTCCAGATAACAGAATTGGGCAGTACCTAGTTTGTTAGAATTAGAAAACAAAATTATTAGTGTATACTTATTTCCAGTTAAAATGAAAGATAATAGGGTTTTTACCTAACTTCTTCGGTTTTGTATTTCCTAACACTGAAGCTGAAAATGTTGATCGCTAATTATGTGTTTTAACCTACAATATGCCTATATCTATACTGTACTTATAGTTGCAGGATAACAGTTTCTGTACTAGTCGTATTACTACTGACAGAAGACTACCGAATGAAGTGTAGTCTTTGAAATATCTCTGTTCTTAACATAAATCTCAACAGATATATAATTAGGAATTATTCTATAATCTCTTGAATTATTTGCTGTGTGTCTGGTTATAATACCAACTTCATATATTTATTTGTTCTAGTTTCTTTCCAGTTTTTATGGATTGCCTTTTTTAAGGTTTAATGTTTTTTTATTGTCTTTATTTGTAATGGACGTAATATTTGAATTCTAGCAGTGTTCCACTGTCACACTCTTTCTTCTATTTCTTTTAAATCGTGTGGCAAGCTTGTATTTCTAAAACAAAAGAACCCATGAATCATGTTTTTAATTAAGATATTTGTGTGTTTTATTTTTTGTGCATTTAGGGGCCTTCAGAAGGAAGAAATTGTTTTGCTCACACATGGAGATAGTGTAGACAAAGTAGCTGATGGATTCAAGGTTGTGGCACGTTCTGGAAACATAGTAGCAGGTGAAAATTCTAAAAATTTTGCAGAGTTCATTTAAAAAACTTTATCTGAAGAGTAAGCATATGTTGCTGTATGAGATATTCTTTGATTTTCCTTTTTTTTCTGATTTTTCTTCTCTTTTTTTTAAAAGATAATATGAATGTAGGATTAACTGTTGTGAAGGGAATTCAATAATAGGATTATCTGGAAGTCTCTCACTTACTGGTTTATTCATTTGGTTTGAAATGCTTTTAAAAATGTTCGTTCAGTATAAGATTTTCAAACATAAAACACTATACTTTTTGTTAAACGCATGCTCTGAATGAAGAGACCCCCCCCAAACAGGCTTTGTGTGAGCAGCATGGCTATTTATTCACCTGGGTATGGGCGGGCTGAGTCCGAAAAGAGAGTCAGCAGAGGGTGGTGGGATAGGAGTTGGTTTTGTAGGTTTGGGATAGGCAGTGGGAAGATACAGAAGTTACAGTTCAGGGCAGTTTTTGCAAGCCGGTAGAAGGATCAGAGGATCTGGAATCTTGAGGTTGACCAAGGTCGGTTACAAAGTCCAGTATGAGTTGAGCTGGGAATACGGAACAATAGAAGAATGTCTCAGAGTTAATTAGGCACTGCAAGAGTTGGTCATTTCTTTCCCTTTTGTGGTTTTCTAGTTACTTCACACTTTCTAGTTCCAGGAACTCATCTGGAGTACATGTACAGGTCACAGAGGTTATCATGTGGTCCATGGCACTGTTAGTCAGCCTAAAAGACCTTACGCTTTATAACTCAGGAAAATTTGGGGACTCTGTCTTCCTACTATGCTATATTCAGAGTTACTTGTCTTTTATTCCTTTCTTAGAAATACATAGCCATAGCACCCGAATAAGTACTCAGCACAAATTTCTTTGAACCAAGGCTGGCATATTTTATTTTTTGTGCATTTAGGGGCCTGTGGGTCAGATCTAGACTCTTGCCTTTTTTTTTTTTTTTTTTAATGTCCAGGAGCTAAGAATGATTTTTACATTATTAAAGGGTTATAATAAAATACAAGGATTGTATATGTTCTACAGAGCCTAAACTATTTACTATCTCGTCCTTTGCAGAAAGTTTGCTGACATGCTGTTAACTATTTTGTTGTCTACTTTTTTGAGGAAAGGGAATTGACTTTCTGGTGGTTTGGGGTTTTGACTTACTTACCTGAATAATGTAAATAATCACTAATAGTCCTGGAAGTCAGTAAAAGAAAAAGGTGGGTTTATCAGTACACCTAAATAATAAGTTGAAAAAAAGATTTGTCATGTATAAGTTGAATTTAGTAATCTGCCTGTAGTTTTTTAACAGACATTAGAACATAATGTATGCTATTACATTAACATAGGGATGCTCAAGAATGGTTTTCATACTAAAATATTTTTACTTCATAAAAAAAAAATCAACAGTGGTAGATGGGCTTGTGTATTTTTATTTATCCAACAAACATTTGAGTACCTGTTATATGTCATGTACAGTTCTAGATGCCAAGAATGTAGTAATGAACAAAATAGGCCAGGTGCTGTGGCTCTCACCTGTAATTCCAGCACTTTGGAAGGCTGAAGAAGGTGGATACCTTTAGGCTAGGAGTTTGAAACTAGCTTGGGCAACATAGTGAGACCCCCATCACTACATTAAAAAAAAAAAAAAAAATTAGCCAGGTATGGTGGTGCACAGTTGCAGTCCTAGCTACTCAGGAGGCTGAGGTGGGAGAATCATTTGGGCCCAAGAGATCACGGCTGCAGTGAGCTGTGGTTGTGCCACTATATTCCATCCCGGGCAACAAAGCAAGACCCTCCTAAAAAGAACAAAACACAAAAACAATATAGCAAAAAATCCCGTTTAACATTGGGGAAAGGGGAAAGTAAATAATAAAGAAATATAGACTATGTCAGGGTCAGATAGTTTACATTGAAAAAATGAGGGAAGAGGGTATTCTGGAATATGGATGATTGACTTGTTACAATTTTATAGGCTATTCCGGGAAGGCACTCCTATAAAATGACATTGGACCTGAAGAAAATAAGTGCTAACCTTTCTGGATATTTGGGGAAAGAGGAAATAGCAGTATAGAGATCCTGGGTGGGGACCGTATTTGAGGAGCAGCAGGGAATCCACATGGTTGGAGCAGAATAAGCATGGTGGGGAGAGAGATAGAAGGTGAAGTTACAGAGGTAGTTGGATGCCAGAACACAGGACCTTTGGGCCACTGCAATAATTTGGCTTTACTCATCGTGAGGTGGGGTTTTAAATGAAGGAGAGATATGATCTAATTTCAGGACTAGGCTGTGATGAGGAGAAAAGATACAGGGTGAAAGAGAAGCAAGAAGACGAGCTAGGAGTTTATTGTACTAATCAGGAGAGAGACACTGTTTTCAGGATCAGAATAGTAGTGATAGATGCAGGAGGAAGATAAAGGGGAGAGTCCCCAGAGAATTTCCTACCAGCCTGCCTACTGAGAGAACAGGGTGGAGCCACAGGAAGTTCTTAGCCTTTGCAGGGGGGCCTGGCATTTGCTGTTCCTGTGTGGTGACTTGGGATTCAATCTGTGAGATGGGGGAAGCCTTAACAGGAAGCCTTCTCGCTATGCTGAGAGTTTTTTTCCCTTTCGTCCAATAAATTCCATTTCCCCTCACCCTTCAAAGTGTCTGCATGCCCAACTTTTCTTGGTCATATGACAAGAACCTGGTTTTTTCCTACAGTAGTAGAAGAGGAAGTTGTTAGGACCAGGGTGGCAGAGGTGGAAGTTGTCAGGACTAGGGTGGCAGAGGTAGACATGTTAGGAGTGACTGTATTCCACTGTGTTTTGAAGGGAGGAACAAAGGATTTGCAGTTAGATTGAATATGGGGTGGGGGAAAAAAGTAGAATCAGGTTTTAACTCCCAAGTTAAAATTCAAGATGCTTTATTAAACATCAAAACAAAGGTGCTGAGTAGGCAGTTGTATATATGAGCCTGGATTTTAGAGAAGAAAACTAGTCCGAGATACAAATTTGAGGGTTTATCAGCATACAGGCAGAATTTTAAGATCATGAAAGTATGAGATCACTCAGAATGTATAGAAAAGAGATTTAAGGGCTGAGTATTGAGCAACTTTCATGTGTAGAGATAGGCAAAATGAAGAACCAGCAAAGGAGATTCAGAAGGAACAGACAGTAAAATAAGTGAACCAAGAGTGTGGTATCCTGAGAGCCAAATAAATAAAGTGTGAAGTACTGTGGTACAGTAGAATGAGTATGAGTTTGGGATCCTGTCAGGCCTGATTTAATTACTTAATTAGCTGAGAGTTCATACAAGTTTCTTGATATCTCAGAGCCATAAATTTGGGGTGACACATGCCCTTGTAATCCATCTAGCCTAACATCTTTTGCCTCGTAGGTAAACATTTGCCAGAAACTCATGAGTCAAGTAGGTGAAGTTATATTTGTGGTTAATACTAGTCAAGAAAGAAACAGTATATTCTCACAAGTCTGATATATGAGATTCTTTTAATATAAGAACTTGGTAGCTGTACAATGCATTTGAAAGCCATGCGCAACTGAGAACCAAAATTGAATTATCACTGCACTAGATACACAAGACAATGGAAGTAACTTGGGTGGAGAAGTGCGAATACTGTGAAATAATCTCTGTGTGGGACTTAATGTACTGTCCTATAGCTCATTAATTGCTGTATCAAGAAAGACCTTCATAAAGAAAGGTTATAGCAATGAAGTTTTTGTTTTTATTATGTATTTCCTTTTCCTATATCTAAAAATCCATAGAGACAAATCAGTTTTAACATTTATAGAGGAAGAAGGCTGGGTGCATTGGCTCATGCCCATAATCCCAGCACTTTGGGAGGCCAAGGCAGGAGGATTACTTGAGCCCAGTAGTTCAGTAGACAGCAGGATAAAACCCCATTTCTGCAAAATATTTAAAAATTAACTGAGTGTGGTGGCATGCACCTATTGTTCCAGCTACTCAGGAGGCTGAGGTGGAAAGGATCACTTGAGCCCAGGACAATGAGACTACAGTGTGCTATGATTATACTACTGCACTCCAGCCTGGGCAACAGAGCAATGAATACCCCGTGTCAAAAATAATAATAATAACAATAATAAATAAAATTGGCTGTGAGCAGTGGGCTCATGCCTATAATCCCAGCAATTTGGGAGGCTGAGGCAGATGGATCTCTTGAAGCCAGGAGTTCAAGACCACCTGGCCAATATAGTGCAACCCCATCTCTACTAAAAAATATAAAAAATTAGCAGGGCATGGTGGCACATGCCTGTAATGCCAACTACATGGGAGCCCGAGGCATAAGAATTGCTTGAACCCGGTAGGCAGAGGTTGCAGTGAACCGAAATCATGCTACTGTTTTCCAGCCTGGCTGACAGAGAGAGACTGCCTCAAAATAAAGAAATAAAATAAAAAATAAGAATTAGACCTTAGAGGAAGAGATTGTCAGAAACTAATTGTGGGTATTGCTTGAGTCTTTTCAGCATGAAAAAAAGTTTTAATTTGTGACTGTTTTCTCTATAAAGGCATAGCAAATGAATCTAAAAAATTATATGGAGCACAGTTCCACCCTGAAGTTGGCCTTACAGAAAATGGAAAAGTAATACTGAAGAATTTCCTTTACGATATAGCTGGGTGCAGTGGAACCTACACTGTGCAGAACAGAGAACTTGAGTGCATTCGAGAGATCAAAGAGAGAGTAGGCACGTCAAAAGTTTTGGTAAGCAATTTATCATCTAAAAGTCTATAAATTTATATCACTAATGTTGGAATCCAGAAACTAGAGTCCTCAACACAGCCCTTAAAAGTTCTACAGTTTTAGAGTGCTTTTTCAGTTACCATACATACCTTTGATATAAACAGCGCTTCTAGGTAATGATTTATGCTGATAATGTTTATTTTCTTTTGGCTTGTTCTCCTCAGTTTGATTTTTCATTTTACCCTGTAGGTTTTACTCAGTGGTGGAGTAGACTCAACAGTTTGTACAGCTTTGCTAAATCGTGCTTTGAACCAAGATCAAGTCATTGCTGTACACATTGATAATGGCTTTATGAGAAAACGAGAAAGCCAGTCTGTTGAAGAGGCCCTCAAAAAGCTTGGAATTCAGGTCAAAGGTATTGAAGAACTCCAGAAAAGTTAAACTTACATGTCAGGACTTGTTTAATCAAAACTAGTCTCATTGTTTACATGAGCACAATTACAGTTTTCTCAGTGTGCTCAAGGTTGAAAATGTGTATTTTTTAGTTACCTCTGGTTTAAGAGGGGTTTCAGTATAAGTTTTTAAACTATTGATTCTGCTAATTTTATACATAGATTGATAAATTAACATTTTCCAGCTACTATTCAATTCTTCTAGTTATATACTTTAAAAATTATCTTTTCCTGGCTGTGCATGGTGGCTTATGCCAGTAATCCCAGCACTTTGGGAGATTGAGGCAGGTGGATCACCTGAGGTCAGGAGTTTGAGACCAGCCTGGCCAATATGATGAAACCCTGTCTCTACTAAAAATACAAAAAATTAGCTGGGTATGGTGGCACATGCCTGTGATTCCCAGCTACTCAGGAGGCTGAGGCAGGAGAATTGCTTGAACCTGGGAGGTAGAGGTTGCAGTGAGGTGAGATCACACCACTGCACTCCAGCCTAGGCAACAAGAGTGAAATCCCGTCACCCCCCCCAAAAAAAAATCTTTTCCCACCCTATGTCATGATATTTAGGCATGAGCCTACCCAAGCACTCCTCAGATATGGGTATATAGATTATTTTGCAGATAGAAAAGATTATAATAGGAGAGGTGAAGATTCTATAGTTACTTTTTTTGGTAAACTTTTTTTAAAAATTTAATTTAATTCATTTTTTTTTTTTTGAATAGAAACAGGGTTTCACCATTTTGGTCAGGCTGGTCTCAAACTCCTGACCTCATGATCCACTCGCCTCAGCCGCCCAAAGTGCTAGGATTGCAGGCTTGAGCCACCACGCCTGGCCTAGTAAACTTCTTAGTCCTTAATAGCATTTACATTTGTAGATAACTTTTATACTTTTTAAAAAGAAGATGCAGTTGATAGTTATAATGAAATGAGATCAATAGTTTAATGTTACAAATTATTGTATGTATTGTATTAATTAGAACTGATAACAAAAGGCTGAATATAATGAAGACTTGTAGGTAAGCATGATGTGAACATGAGTATATTTCTTTGAAACTTTTCTAAAATAACAGTAAAAGCATAAAACAGTATAATGCCATAAGGATGAGGGATAGAGGAGATGATAACAGACAGATGATTTCAACAAAATGTTGGAAGGTGGATAGCAGATGGGTATTGGTAAATTTTCTTGGCTTAAGCTTCATGGGTTACTAGAGAGTTCTCTCCCAGTGTCCTGGGACGGTCCCCAGTGGTATCTTCACATGGTCATATGTTTTTGTGAAATTTGCAAGTAAGATATTTTGATGATTTGTAGTTTATGTTCTTTCAACTCTAACTTGTTCTCTGTTAGTTGGTGCTGGAATGGCTGTGGGCATTTTGAGATCATGCTAAGACAAAGATGAGCCGGCGATGTGCTTAGTATGGGTTTAGTGGTATATATGTGCTTTGCAATTGTTTCTGCATTTAGTTAAGTACTTTTTAGCCATCCCAGTATAACTTACAATTTTTAGTATCTTATATGTTACTCTGTTTCTTGAAGAAGTCCTTCAAATTGTAAAACTTGGATATGTTCCCTGGTAACTGACGTAGCAGAATGGAGGAATTCACAACCTTGGGATAGGATGGGAAGGAACCCAACAAAAAGCAAGCTGATTTATGCTGCAGACTTCTGGGGAGGCTTAGAAATTTGAAGCATTGGTTTTTTGGAGGGGCATTGGTCTCTGGGTTAGCCTAAAACAGGGATTGGTTAAAAATCTGAGAAGCAGATAGTTTTCCTTCGCACAGGAGCAAACTGCTGCTGTTCTTCCCAATCAGAACACTGTGGGTGTATTCTCTCTCTAGAGGGGCTACACAAGAGAGATTCTGGATTTGAGCATACTAATACCAGGCATAGTTGAGGGTGGAGGTAAGATTCTATGTTAAGAACAGGATCTACTAAAATTCTGTTTGCTGAATAGTGATTCCCTCTTCCTACCATGTCCTCTTTTCAACTGCCAGAATGCTAATAGGCAGAAGAAAGAATATACCTTCTCTGGGTAGTTGACCAGGTTCAGGAAAGACCTACAAATTCACTAGCTATTCAATGAAATAGCCAGCTGCCTGTTCATCTTATGGTGAAGGCCATCAGTAGCTTAGATTTATTAGCAAATAGAGATCTTAGTCAGTTTTTGGTTTCCTGTCCTTAAATAAAAAAAACAGCCAAGGATTTTTAAACGTATGTTTATAAATACCAGTTTTACAAGACACTGGTTAGTGTGTGATTCTAATGACTTTCTTTCTGCTAGGAACCAGTGCTTTTGACTCCCCTGGGGCTAGGCTTCTTGCTGTGGTTTCTTCTTGTTGCTCTGGTGAAGCACTGAACAGAGAGAAAACAATCAGCATTATTTATTTATTTATTTTTTTGAGACAGAGTTGTGCTCTGTTGCCCAGGCTGGAATGCAGTGGCGCCATCTCGGCTCACTGCAACCTCTGCCTCCTAGGTTCGAGCAATTCTCCTGCCTCAACTTCCTGAGTAGCTGGGATTACAGAAATGTGCCACCAGTCCCAGCTAATTTTTGTGTTTTTAATAGAGATGGGGTTTTGCCATTTTGGCCAGGCTGGTTTTGAACTCCTGACCTCAAGTGATCCACCCACCTTGGCCTTACAAAGTGCTGGGATTAAAGGAGTGAGCTGCCGTGCTTGTCAGCATAATTTGTGATGTCATGGCCCTAGATCTAAATGCCGGGAGATTCTCATAGAAACAAAATTCAATGAGTGTCTGTATCTGAACTCTTACTCAGGATTTATTGATAGTTCTTGAATATTGGTAGTTTATTAAAATTTGTAGGCAAATTTAGGGGAGATCAAAGGAGTCATATAGCTTTTCTTTCTGTAGTTTGACTTGTTATTTTTTATTTCAGAAAGTTCTATCAATGTAAAACGCATCTCCCCTTTCCTCCAGTGATAAATGCTGCTCATTCTTTCTACAATGGAACAACAACCCTACCAATATCAGATGAAGATAGAACCCCAAGGAAAAGAATTAGCAAAACGTTAAATATGACCACAAGTCCTGAAGAGAAAAGAAAAATCATTGGGGATACTTTTGTTAAGGTACCTTTGTTTTTAATATCCTCAACATGTACCGTTTTTGGTGTGAGTCTTACTATTTGTTTTTCTTTGTTATTATATCAAATAATCAAATTTGCTAGTTGTGGTTTTTTTCTTATGTGGCTGAGAGTTTTACTGTATATTGTCATTATATCAACCAGTAGAAACTGTTTTATGTTTTAATACACATGTATACTTACCTTGCCAGGCTGTTATTCTAACTCTTTAAGAATAGATGTCTTCATCTGATCATAGACTTCAATTCATGGGTTCTTTCAATGGCTAATTTCAAGCTCTTGAATAGAATGTTCAGGTACTTTTTCTGGAGGCGGAGTTTCGCTTTTGTTGCCCAGCTGGAGTACAATGGAGCGACCTTGGCTCACTGCAGCCTTCATCTCCCAGGTTCAAGCAATTCTGCCTCAGCCTCCCGAGTAGCTGGGATTACAGGCATGCACCATCATTGCTTAGCTAATTTTTTTTTTTTTTTTTTTTTTTGAGACGGAGTCTCACTCTGTTGCCCAGGCTGCAGTACGGTGGGGCGATCTTGGCTCACTGCAACCTTTGGCTCCCGGGTTCAAGCGATTCTCCAGCCTCAGCTTGCTGAGTAGCTGAAATTACAGGTGCGTGCCCCATGCCTGGCTAATTTTTGTGTTTTTAGAAGAGATGGGGTTTAACCCTGTTCTTCAGGCTGGTCTCTAACTACTGACCTTGTGATCTGCCTGCCTCAGCCTCCCAAACTGCTGGGATTAGCACTGTGCCGGCTGCTAATTTTGCATTTTTGGTAGATGGGTTTCACCATGTTGGTCAGGCTGGTCTCAAAATCTCACCCGCCTTGGCCTCCCAAAGTGCTGGGATTACAGGTGTGAGCCACTGCACCCAGCGTCACATACCTTTTTGAATCATGTTAAAGGATATATTCATAAATGAGTTTATTTTGGGAGTTAGTGGATTTTATTTTCTGGTCAGTATTTCTAAAGTGTTGTAAGAAATTTAGCTGAAAGTATAAACTTTTGCTTTAAAAATTTTGTCTCTTACAAGGCTGTTTTATTCCTGTTGATTATAGATTGCCAATGAAGTAATAGGAGAAATGAACTTGAAACCAGAGGCGGTTTTTCTTGCCCAAGGTACTTTACGGCCTGATCTAATTGAAAGTGCATCCCTTGTTGCAAGTGGCAAAGCTGAACTCATCAAAACCCATCACAATGACACAGAGCTCATCAGAAAGTTGAGAGAAGAGGTAAAAGTTTATATAACTTTTTTATAAAGTAGATACATTTCTTTTTTCTTTTTTTTTTTTTTTTTTTTTGAGACGGAGTTTCGCTCTTGTTACCCAGGCTGGAGTGCAATGGCGCGATCTCGGCTCACCGCAACCTCCGCCTCCTGGGCTCAGGCAATTCTCCTGCCTCAGCCTCCTGAGTAGCTGGGATTACAGACACGCGCCACCATGCCCAGCTAGTTTTTTTTTGTATTTTTAGTAGAGACGGGGTTTCACCATGTTGACCAGGATGGTCTCGAGCTCTCGACCTCGTGATCCACCCACCTCGGCCCCCCAAAGTGCTGGGATTACAGGCTTGAGCCACCGCGCCCGGCAAAGTAGATACATTTCTTCCCTCCTCCTTCTTCCTAATATTCACAGAGTTGCACAGCTATCACTGCATCTAATTTTAGAACATTTTTATTACCCTGAAAACAAACTTCATACCCATTAGCAGTCACTCCTTATTCTACTTGTTGTCATTGTCATCCTGCTTCCACTCCCCAGCTCCTCCTTTCCTCCTCTCTTGCCAGCCCTAGGCAATCACCAACATGAATTGTATTTTCTGTCTCTATAGATTTGCTTATTTTGGACATTTTATATAAATGAAATCATATAATATGTAATCTTTAATGACTGACTTACCTTAATGTTTTCAAAGTTCATCCATGTTGCTGCATGTATCAGAACTTTATTCCTTTTTATTGCTAGATAATATTCCATCATATGGGTATACTACATTTTATTTATTCATTGATAAGTTGATGGGAATTTGGGTTATTTCCACTTTTTGGCTGTTATAAGTAGTGCTGCTATGAATATTGGTTATAAGTTTTTGTGGATGTGTGTTTTTATTTTTTTGGTATATGCCTGGGAGTAGAATTGCTAGATCTTAAGGTTTAACATTTTGATAAATTGCCAAACTGTTATTTAAAATGATGATACGGTTTTACATTCTCACTAGCAATATATGAGATTCCAATTTTTCCACATCCTCACCAAGACTTGTTATCTCTTTTCTTATTGTAAAAAACACATAATGTAAAAGTTACCATCTTAAACCTTTTTTTTTTTGAAACAAAGTCTCACTCTGTTGCCCAGGCTGGAATGTAGTCATATGATCTCAGCTCACTGTAACCTCTGCCTCCTGGGTTCAAGCAATTCTCCTGCCTCAGCCTCCCAAGGAGCTGGGATTACATGTGCCACCAGGCTTGATCAATTTTGTATTTTTAGTAGAGTTGGGATTTCACCATGTTTACCAGGCTGATCACAAACTCCTGACCTCAGGTGATCTGCCTGCCTTGGCCTACCAGAATGCTGGGATTACAGGTGTGAGCCACTGTGACTGGCCTTAACTGTTTTTAAGTATACAGTTCAGTAGTGTTAGGTGTATTCACATTGTTGTAAAACAGATCTTCAGAACTTTTCATCTTTCAAAACAAACTTTATTAAAAAACATTAAAAAACAACTCCCCCTTTTCCCCAATCCCCACCCTCTGGTAACCGCCATTCTGCTTTCTGTTTCTGTGTTTCATTACCTTAAATACCTCATATAGGTGAAATCATACAGTATTGGCCTTTTTGTGACTTGCTTATTTAACTTTGCAAGGCAAGATGGCTCATACCTATAATCCCAGCACTTTGGGAGGCTGATGTGGGTGGATCACTTGAGGCCAGGAGTTTGAGACCAGCCTGGTCAACATGGTGAAACCTCGTCTCTACTAAGAATAGAAAAATTAGCTGGGTGTGGTGGCAGGCATCTGAATCCTTGCTACTTGGGAAGCTGAGGCGGGAGAATTACTTGAACCCTCAGGGCAGAGGTTTCAGTGAGCCGAGACTGTGCCATTGCACTCCAGCCTGGGCAACAAGAGTGAAACTACAGAAAAAAAAAAAAAAAAAGACTGAATAATATACTACTATATGTATATACCACATTTTGCTTATCCATTTTTGTTTATCTTTTGGATATATGCCCAGAAGTGGAATTGCTGGATCATATGGTAGTTCTCTTTTTAATTTTTTGAGGAACCTGTTGTCCATAGCAATTGCACCATTTTACAATCCAACCAAAAGTACATAAGGACTCCAGTTTTTCCAGTGCTTACAATTTGTTATTTTCTATTTTTTGATGGGTGTGTTACCTGACTTTTAAAAATTTTAGTCACTGGGCACAGTGGCTCATGCCTATAATCCCAGCACTTTGGGAGGCTGAGGCAGGCGGATCACTTGAGGTCAGGAGTTCGAGACAAGCCTGACCAACATGGAGAAACCCCATCTCTACTAAAAATACAAAATTAGCCGGGCATGGTGGTGCATGCCTGTAATCCGAGCCACTCGGGAAGCTGAGGCGGGAGAATTGCTTGAACCCAAGCGATTGCAGAGAGGCAGAGATTGCAGTGAGCTGAGATTGCACCTGGGCAACAAGAGTGAAACTCCATCTCAAAACAAATTTTTTTTAGTCATCCGGCCAAGCACAGTGGCTCATGCCTGTAATCCCAGCACTTTGAGAGGCCAAGGCAGTTGGCTTACTTGAAGCCAGGAGTTCAAGAACAGTCTGACCAACATGGTGAAACCCTGTCTCTACTAAAAAACAAAAAATTAGGTGTGGTGGTGCATGCTAGTAGTCCTAGCTACTCCGGAGGCTGAGGCAGGAGAATTCCTTGAACCTGGAAAGTAGAGTTGCAGTAGCTGAGACTGCACCACTGCACTCCCACCTGAGCAACAGACGAAGACTCTGTCCAGAAAAAAAAAAAGTGAATAAAAATTTTAGTCATCCTAATGGACATGAAGTAATGTGTCTCATTGTTTTCATTTGCATTTCCCTAATAGCTGATGATGTTGTGCATCTTTTCATGTGCTTGATTATTGGCCATTTGTGTATTGTGGAGAAATGTCTATTTATATCCTTTGCTCGTTTTTTAAAAAAACCTTTTATATTTATTTATTTATTTATTTATTTATTTATTTATTTCAAGACAGAGTTTCGCTCTTGTTGCCCAGGCTAGAGTGCAGTGGTGTGATCTTGGCTCACTGCAACCTCCACCTCACAGGTTTAAGTGATTCTTCTGCCTCAGCCTCCTCAATAGCTGGGAATACAGGCATGCACCACCATACCCAGCTAATTTTGTATTTTTAGTAGAGACGGGTTTCTCCGTGTTGGTCAGACTGGTCTCAAACTCCTGACCTCTGGTGATCTGCCTGCCACAGCCTCCCGAAGTGCTGGGATTACAGGCGTGAGCCACCGTGCCTGGCCTAAAAATTTTTATTTTCAATTCAAGGGTATATGTGTAGGTTTGTTAGATAGGTAAACTTGTATCATGGGGATTTGTTACACAGATTATTTCATCACCCAAGTATTAAGCCTAGTACCCATTAGCCTTGCTTATTTTTCAGTTGAGTTATTTATCTTTTTATTATTGAGTTGTAAATGTTCTTTATATATTCTGGTTACAAGTCTTATCAGATACATGATTTACAAATGTTTTCTCTAGTTCTGTTAGTTGTCTTTTCATTTTCTCAATGATAACATTTGGAGAATTTTAATTTTGAAACACTAGTGTATTTTCTAATTGTATTCTAATGAAAACTAGATCAGAGATGATAGGTTGGTTTACCATGATTTATTTATATCTTAAAAATATGTGTTTAAAATTTGCCTTGAAGAGAAATAAGGATACCACTAAAATATTCATCTAATTCCTTATAGGCACATAGGAGCAAATACTTTAAAAGATACATTTTTTAATAAGAATCTGTTAGTCTAAGAAAAATGGTAACAGGAAAACCTAATAATTGATTGCCCTTTGTTTTCCGCATCATCTTGGTTACTAACTTGTATTGGTTGGCTTCTTTCCTCCCAATAGGGAAGAGTAATAGAACCTCTGAAAGATTTTCATAAAGATGAAGTGAGAATTTTGGGCAGAGAACTTGGACTTCCAGAAGAGTTAGTTTCCAGGCATCCATTTCCAGGTAAAAATTAGAATTGAATTTTGTTTAGATCTTCATGTTGAAGAAAAATTAGTTCATACAGTTCTGAAATAATCTGTCATCTCAGGGAATATGTAACATGAGAGAAAGGAAAGGATGGTTAGGGAACAAACAAAATCTTTTGAGAATCTACTGTATTTACTTCATTTTATTAAATACTCATTTTCCATTCTATTTGTATTTAAGTATTACATGATCCCTGGTAATCTGGAATATGATGTTGACATCAGATGAGAAAACCAAGATACAAGATATTTTTTTTTTTTTTTTTCTTTTTTTTTTTTTGAGATGGAGTTTCGCTCTTGTTACCCAGGCTGGAGTGCAATGGCGCGATCTCGGCTCACCGCAACCTCCGCCTCCTGGGCTCAGGCAATTCTCCTGTCTCGGCCTCCTGAGTAGCTGGGATTACAGGCACGCGCCACCATGCCCAGCTAATTTTTTGTATTTTTAGTAGAGACGGGGTTTCACTATGTTGACCAGGATGGTCTCGATCTCTTGACCTCATGATCCACCCGCCTTGGCCTCCCAAAGTGCTGGGATTACAGGCTTGAGCCACCGCGCCCGGCCAGGATACAAGATATTTTAATAACAGTGCCATACAATCCTAGTAGTAGACCTAGGATTTGTTATATTCTTTGTACCATACCATGGTGCATTCCATGGAAAATGTGAGGATTTAACCTTGTTTCTTTAAAATCCTTGTCCTATGTTTGACTTGTTTGAATGGATGAACCACTTCTTTCTGTGCAGAAAATTCTTGGCACAATGCTCTATGTAACTAATTTCTGAACAAATAGTACTCCATTTGCTGTCATATAGAAAAAAATTAGAGGTGATAGTTGTAAAGTTAGGATGGCAAGTCTTAACCTGTTTTTGTTATTAGTTCTTGAGAGCTTGGACAAGTCCGCACCTCATCAGATTCTAGCTCATTGTAATAATGGTGATTAGGTGATGATTCAGGAGAATGACCTAATTGAATTGAAAAACTAGTATTAGCCAACATTTCTTAAGTACTTTTTATGTGCTAGGCACTTTGCTAAATACTTTTTATTATCTTATTTGATCCTCACAGTGGAAACTAGTATCCTGTTTTATAGCTGAAGAAACCTAGGGAGAGACTAATTTGCCAAAACTTAAGAAGATTCAGAGCAATGAAGCCACTGTTATAGCCCCAATAATTTTTACCTCAGAGTTTATGCTCTTGTTTTTTTTTTTTTTTTTTTTTTTTTTTTTAAGAAAGAGTCTCGCTTTGTCACCAGGCTGGAGTGCAGTGGTGCATTCTTGGCTCATTACAGTCTCTGCCTCCAGGGTTCATGTGATTTTCTTGCCTCAGCCTCCCGAGTAGCTGGGACTACAGGTGTGCACCACCACACTCAGCTAATTTTTTGTATTTTTAGTAGAGATGAGGTTTCACCATTGGCCAGGATGGTCTCAATCTCTTGACCTTGTGATCTGCCCACCTCAGCCTTCCAAAGTGCTGGGATTACAGATGTGAGCCACCATACTTGGCTAGAGTTTATACTGTTAATGATCATATTGGCTCCATAAACAGTTTTACAAATATATAACCTATGTGGTGATTAGTACTTGTTATCAAATCTAGTAGTCAGATTGAGTAATTTAAGATCTTTAGTCCCTAACCTGCATGCTGGCAAAGAATGGTCTGTGGGCCAGTGTGGTGGCTGATGCCTGTAATCCCATCACTTTGGGAGGCTAAGGTGGGTGGATCACTTGAGGCCAGGAGTTCGAGACCAGCCTGGCCAACATGGTGAAACCCTGAGTCTGCTAAAAATACCAAAATTAGCCAGGTGTCATGGCAGTTGTCTGTAATTCCAGCTACTCAGGAGGCTGAGGCAGGAGAATGGCTTGAAGTGGGGTTGCAGTGAGCCTAGATTGTACCGCTGCCCTCTAACTTGGACAACAAAGCATGACTTTGTCTGAAAAAAAAAAAAAAAAAAAAAAAAAAAAAAAAAGAGTGGTCTGTGAATGTAATAGAGGGAAGCCAGGTGTTCTGTGCTCTTGGTTGTTATTTCATCTAGACTCAGTTGATGTTTTAAAAACCTATTTTATGTGTTGAGTTTTCTATTATGTAAGATTTCATTGGCAAAAATAGTTTTGCTGCTTTAAAAATTATCTTAAATATGCTGTTCATTCTAAAGGTAAAGAATGAGACAAGGGAATTAATGGACATAGCTGAGTTTTTGCCTGTAACTAGACATCTCAAGTGATGCCTTTTCTGTTGTAGTAAAGTAGCAGAATCCAGTTTTTCATAGATCTATGCATACCTTGTGTTTTTGCCAACTTCTGTGTATTTGGTAAAATAGAGTTCGGGTGTGATGGCTCATGCCTGTAATCCCAACATTTTGGGAGGCTGATGCAGGTGGATCACTTGAGGTCAGGAGTTCTAGACCAGCCTATCCAACGTGGTGAAACCCTATCTCTACTAAAAATACAAAAAAATAGCTGGGCATGGTGGTGCATGCCTGTACTAGCTACTACTAGTGGCTGCTAAGGGTGGCTAAGGCAGGAGAATCTTTTGAATCTGGGAGCTGGAGGTTGCAGTGAGCTGAGATGGCACCACTGCCCTCCAGCCTGGGTGACAGAATGAGACTCTGTCAAAATAAAATAAATTAGAAATAACAGTTCACATTTTTTGGTATTTGATTATGTATGTATTTGATTATATATATATATATATATATATATATATATATATACATATATATATATATATGTTTGATTTTATATATATATATGTATATTAACAGTATAATACCATTCCTAAAATTGGATTGATAGTTGAAGCTGGGTGATGAGAAAGGTGGTTAATTATACGGTCCTCTAATGTATATGTTAGAAAATGCCCTTAAAAATTTTTGAACAGATTGGCACGTCTGTTATGAACTTAAAGTATTTACTGGATAATTCTGTGATACCTAATAGATGAACTGTAAAAACAGGATAGGCCAAATGCAGTGGCTCACGCCTGTAATTCCAGCATTTCCAGAAGCTGAGGTAGGGCATCGCTGAAACCCAGGAGTTCAAGACCAGCCTGAGCAACATAGTGAGACCCACATCTTGACTGAAAAAATTAGCTAGGCGTGATGGCATGTGCTTGTAATCCCAGCTACTCAGGTGGCTGAGGTAGGAGGACTGTTTGAGCCTAGGAGTTTGAGGCTGCACTCAGAAATAATTGCACCATTGCACTCCAGCCTTGATGACAGACAGAGCAAGACTCCATCTCTTTTTTAAAAAGGGAGATACGAATGATTGATATGAAAAGAATTAAACATATTGTCTTATTTCAGCCTCACAGTGGAAGCTATGATAGCATTATACTGTTTTATAGTTGAAGAAACTTAGGAAAAGAGACTAATATGCCAAAAAGTTATGCAGACCAAAAAGTGTGCATAACTCAAATGTTGCAGCATTCTAAATGTTACAACATTTTTAGCGTGTTGAAGCATTCTAAAAAATGCTGAGTTGAATGGGAAACTAATAGCTATATTTGGAATTAAATACTTACGGCAGATAGATTTTAATTTTGGAAAGTTTTTGTATTTTGAAAATAGTGGCAGTTTTATGTTAGATTTTTATGTTAGAAATATAACATTAATGTTAAGTACTATTGTTACTCTTATCTTTAGGTCCTGGCCTGGCAATCAGAGTAATATGTGCTGAAGAACCTTACATTTGTAAAGACTTTCCTGAAACCAACAATATTTTGAAAATAGTAGCTGATTTTTCTGCAAGTGTTAAAAAGGTAATAATTTGACACAGCTAAACATTACAAGAAATTGAATGGATTCTTATTATACACCAGCATTTATAATGAATTTTTTAGGGTCTTATAATTTGAAAATTCAGAGTAATATAATCTTTGAAATGACTGTGGAGAAATTGTTCCACAGATATTCTTATATGCACATTTTTCTTTTCTTTTCTTTTAATTTTACTTTACGTTCTGGGGTACATGTAGAGGTCACGCAGGGTTGTTGCATAGGTGCATACTATAGCTGGCATTTCTCCCCATGTTATCCCTCACCACCCTCCCCACCCCCTGTTGTCCCTCCCCTCGGCACCCCCAACTGCCCCCAGTGTGTGATGCTCCTCTCCCTGAGTCCACGTGTTCTCATTGTTCAATACCCACCTATGAGTGAGAACATGCGGTGTTTGGTTTTCTGTTCTTGTGTCAGTTTGCTGAGAATGATGGTTTCCAGATTCATCCAAGTCCCTAAAAGGACATGAACTCATTGTTTTTTATGGCTGTATGCACATTTTTCCTTCCAGCCATATAAGAATAGATATCCTGAGTCTCTAAAAATGCAAGATAAAGTATTTTATTTTTTTATTTTTTATTTTATTTTATTTTATTTTTTTGAAACGGAGTTTCACTCTTGTTACCCAGGCTGGAGTGCAATGGTGCGATCTCGGCTCACCGCAACCTCCGCCTCCTGGGTTCAGGCAATTCTCCTGCCTCAGCCTCCTGAATAGCTGGGATTACAGGCATGCGCTACCATGCCCAGCTAATTTTTTGTATTTTTAGTAGAGATGGGGTTTCACCATGTTGACCAGGATGGTCTGAATCTCTTGACCTCGTGATCCACCCGCCTCGGCCTCCCAAAGTGCTGGGATTACAGGCTTGAGCCACCGCGCCCGGCAAGATAAAGTATTTTAAACCACTCTTTTATGTGTATTGCAAGAAAGTAAGGGAAATGGATTGTCAGGAATTTATTGGGAGTATCATTTTAAGAAGCCAACACTGTCTGCTTCTCTGAGGACAGCAACTAATCCTTTGTGGTCTAGGATTTGGGTTTTAACAGTTTCATTCATGTACAGATGTCTGAGTATGAGACTGAGTCCAAGAAGGGCCATAGATTGGATCAGATATTGTCACACTGTGCAGCACTTTGGCTCCAAATTGAAGGTGAATGGAAAAGTTCTTAAGTCTGCTTAATTCTGCAGATTTGGGGTTTTAATTTATGTAATGTGTGTGGTCTGAAAATTGGCAATGTAAGAATTTTAAAGTGGATCTGGGTTGGTAGTGCTTACAGGAGTTAGGCAAGGAACAGTACAGATTCTCTTTAGAATATCTTCACCTAGGTCCCAAAGGCTTCTCATAGATAGGTTTTCAATAAGTATGAGGTTATAATAAAAAATATAAATCACATATAGAATTAAGGCACCTTGAAAAAGAAGGTAAAAAACTGTCAGAACAAGACCCTCAAAGACTTTACTGGAATTAACAAGCAATATGTAAAGTAAATCGAAATAAGCTATCGATAATAAGAATAATGTATAAGAGACTACTAAAAATAACTGAGCAGATTTGAAAAGAACCTAAATTCAAGAATGAAAATAACTGAAAAACAGCTTAAAGAGAGAATTAGCAAAGTCAAAGTTGTTTAGAGATTATTCAGAAATTAGGACAAACCATTATAAAGAAAATATGGGTAGAGGAGGTTTAGACAGAAGGATAAGGTAAGTGCTAACATATATCCAGAAGCAGATAGTAGTAAAAATATATATTAATTCCTCTACACTGGTAAAAGACATGATGGCTCAGATTCAGGAAACATAACACATTCCAAGTATAATAAAGGGAAAGAATTTGATACCTAGTAGGCATATATTAGAGAAATTAAGGACTGCCAAAGACAGAGCAGCTGCAGAGAACAGATTAATTACCTACCCAGGAAATTATACTGAAAGCAACAGTAAAGGCAAGACTTTGAACTACTAAACTGTCTTTTAAAAACAAGGGCAAAATAAAGTTATTTCGAGATTAAACAGAATTTACTGCCAACAATTCCTTACTTAAGAAACTAAAGGCAATGATTTTCAACTCTGGCTGTATGTTAGAATCATCTGGGGAAGCTTTTGAAGTATACTATTCTTTATGTATAGCCCTAGAATTTAATTGGTCTGAGCTGGGACCTGAGGAGCCCAAGTAATTTGTGCAGTTAGGGTTGAGAACCATTGTTGTAACGAACTGACTTCAGGAGAAGCAGCAGGATACCAGAAGAAAGGTGTGAGATACAAGAAGGAATGTCAAGCAAAGAGGATGGTGAATGAGTAAAACTGAAACAAACATGGACTGTATAAAATGATAAAAATAATTATAAAATTGATGAGGTAAAAATGATCTCTGGTTGTTCTTGTTAATTAGAAAATATGTAACAATGTTTAGCTGAAGTTACATGTAAGCACAAAGGAATTGATTTGAGCTAAAGAATTCAAAGATGCTTGTATTATTTGCCAGAAGGACAGAAGATTATCAAGTGTCCTTGTTAACACTAAAGGGGAACTACTGTAAGAATAGAAATAGAGGATTTAACTCCAAAAACGATAAAGAGGAAATAAATGAGATGAGAGAAATCACCAGTTCAAAAGACAGCAAGAAAGGAGTAAGAGTGAAAAATGGGATAATTACAGAATAAAATTGTCCCATTTTTTATTATGGACATATTATTAACTATATTATTAATATTAATAATATAGTTATATTATTAACTATATTATTAACCCATAATTAATTAAAAGGACTAACATAGACTGTCAAACTAGATTGAAAACTAAAATCTGTTTAGTATAGTAGATATGAAAAGTATAGTTTATTTACAACAGGAATGGGAGGAGTCAAAGTTAAAAGAATGGAAAACATATTCCAGGTAAATAAAGAAATGACTAGAGCTATATTAATTTCAGGCAAAACTGACTTTATGGCAAAAAGTATTAGAGATAATATTTGACTCAGATGAGGTGTATCACTTGCTGGTGGCAGTGTACTAAAGCCTTGATGTATGTAAATATAGTTTGTATTTCTTATCCTAAGACTTCATAGTCCTAGCCCTCAGGAGTGAGTTTCTGGCATAGTGCATAGCACACACAAGTCAAGGAGATACCAAATACAATCCACCACTAAAAACCAGTAAGTGTAGATACATAAGATAGTAGTAATAATAAAAGAGTGAATACCTTATTTCTTAAAACTGAAAAAAATGCCTCTTTGGTTTTTTTCTCAGCCACATACCCTATTACAGAGAGTCAAAGCCTGCACAACAGAAGAGGATCAGGAGAAGCTGATGCAAATTACAAGTCTGCATTCACTGAATGCCTTCTTGCTGCCAATTAAAACTGTAGGTGTGCAGGTGAGTTGTGTGAATTCATTCACCAGTGATACATTCTTCCTACTAATACTGAAATAAGGATTACTTAGGAAAATGACATATGTAAATATATATAGCAAGTTTAGAGAAATAAGAGGTAATATTTTATAGAATGTTTAGGGAGTGAATATTTACAGGAATTAAATAGGCTGAGATTTTATAATTTTGGAACCTATGAACTCTAACCAAAGGCAAATATTGAAGGCAACCATTTCCTGTAGCGTTGACATGCTTACTTCTGCCTTGTAGGGCAGGGATTGAGAGATCATTTATCCTTCTATATGTGAAATATACTGTGGTTTTAGAAGTTTTTAACTACAGGAAGGCCTCCAGATGAATATGTTACACCAATTAGGGTGCTGTTCTCAGCTTGTGTATTCCCTATACTAGGAAACATGTTCTACTGATGTTTTTTGTGTTTATTCTGCCTTTGTAGTTGTAAAAGAATGTGAGAATAATATAGTTCTCAATTATAAAATGCTACTTGAAAAATGATTACGTTAATTTCTCCCCCTTTTTGGAGACAGGGTCTTGCCCTGTCGCCCAGGCTAGGTGCAGTGATGTGATCCTGGCTTACTATAGCCTTGAATTGCTGGGCTCAAGCGACCCTCCCACCTCAGCTTCCCAAGTAGCTGGGACTATAGGCATGCACCACCATGCCTGTCTAATTTTTAAATTTTTTGTAGAGATAGGGTCTCCTTGGGTTGCTCAGGCTGGCTTCAAAATTCTGGCCTCAAGTGATCCTTCACTTTGGCCTCCCAAAGTGTTAGGATTGGAAGTGTGAGCCACTGTGCCCAGCCTTCTCCTTTATATGATCCTCTAATGAGTTTTTGGTGAACAAAAAATGTGCGGGGGTAGGGAAGAGGAAGGTTTATTTTCTTTTATTTCAAGTTTGTGGTTAAATGGAAACTAGAAGTGTCAGTGGTTCAACTCCAAAATGGTGTAAGTGCCAGTTATAGGGTTAATGTGTTAATAATGTCCTCTAGTTAAAATTATGTGTAGAAAAAAATTCTACTGTTTTAGAGATTATTCATTGAAAACCTAATATTTTTTCTAAATATATGAATCTGTCAGTTTAAATTCCGCCTTACTTTGAATTCATGCAGTTCTGCCTGTAAATAAAACAAGGTAAAAATTGATTGTTATTATTAAAGCAAACTAAAGTATTTTAGTTCATGAAAGTGATAGAGCCAGTTATTTGGGTGAAGAAACTCTTGCCTTCTTTTTTTTTTTTTTTTTTTTTGAGACGGAGTTTCGCTCTTGTTACCCAGGCTGGAGTGCAATGGCGTGATCTCGGCTCACCGCAACCTCCGCCTCCTGGGTTCAGGCAATTCTCCTGCCTCAGCCTCCTGAGTAGCTGGGATTACAGGCACACGCCACCATGCCCAGCTAATTTTTTGTATTTTTAGTAGAGACGGGGTTTCACCATGTTGACCAGGATGGTCTCGATCTCTCAACCTTGTGATCCACCCGCCTCGGCCTCCCAAAGTGCTGGGATTACAGGCTTGAGCCACCGCGCCCGGCCTCTTGCCTTCTTTTTAAAGGCCAAATCTTGTAAGCCACTTAATGTTGTTTTAGAGTCACTATTGAAATAACCTTACTTGGAGTTACTGATATTTTTTCAGTGGTTTATGGATTATCTCATTTATATACAAATTTATTTTGAAATTTGCAATGATGCTTATAGGCAGTATTACCCTACTTTATAAAAATACAGTTGTGGACAGGTTATTTAATTATTAAAAGTGTTCTCAGTTTTAAGTAGATTTGTTACAGAGAACTTCTACGTCTGTATGCTCTTACTACACAGGGAGTTGAGTTGAAATGGTTCCCCACTCTTTTTTTTAAAGAGAAGTGTTATAAATAGATATTTGAGGTAATATGATTTGTTGAATGAGTGAACATTCAACAAGTTTCTTGAAATTGAAACTTATTTGGGCTCTACTACTTTTCCCACCAAAATAAAATTTTCTTTTGTTATTAGATAACTAACTTTAGTCTCTTACTCTTTGAAGCTTAGACTCTTGCAAGCTCAGATAAAAAAAGATGGTTCATGATTAGTATAACAATGCATTTTATTTTCTAAATACCAAAGTAAACCACATTTGTAAAAAAACAAAATACATTAAAAAAATTCTTTGTATTTTTACTCTCCAGTTAAGTTTCATATGCGTCTTTCTGGAAACATTTTAAAAAGAAAACAAAAGAGGATTTTGGGTATACATTGTCAACTTTTTTTTTAACTGAACATCGTGAAATTACCTTTCTGTGCCTTTCCAAGTAGATTGTTCTTAACTCTTCCCTCATATTCTCTGCATACCACAATTTATTCTTCTAACCAATGGGCATTTAAACTGTTCTCAGATTTTATTATTACAGGCATTCCGTCAGTTATCCATCTACTTATGTAGGATCATTTTCCATGTTAAAGAGCATGTGCATTTTACACTTTTTTAGACGCTATCACATTAGCATTCACATATGTTGAATTTTCACATTCTTAGTACCTGCCATTCTGGGCATTAGGTACTTCTCTAATCTATTACATTTTAAAATTGCTTTTCATAAAAAAACAAATTACTTGGATTAGACAAGACACAGGAAAGGGGATTACATTATAATCAGCTTTATTTACTTATTTTAAAATTTACTTTTAAGCTGATACTGAAACACATTTTGGTAAGTGTGAATTGTTTTTGTCTCTCACTTAAGAATTCTTTATCGCCGGGCGCGGTGGCTCAAGCCTGTAATCCCAGCACTTTGGGAGGCCGAGGCAGGTGGATCACGAGGTCAAGAGATCGAGACCATCCTGGTCAACATGGTGAAACCCCGTCTCTACTAAAAATACAAAAACTAGCTGGGCGTGGTGGCGCGTGCCTGTAATCCCAGCTACTTAGGAGGCTGAGGCAGGAGAATTGCCTGAGCCCAGGAGGCGGAGGTTGCGGTGAGCCGAGATCGCGCCATTGCACTCCAGCCTGGGTAACAAAGAGCGAAACTCCGTCTCAAAAAAAAAAAAAAAAAGAATTCTTTATCTACTCAAAAATCATGAGCAGATCTTGTCTGCCAAATTACAGTTTTTAAAATAATTTTATAATTTTTTTTTTGAGATGGGATCTTACTCGGTTGCCCAGGCTAGAGTGCAGTGGCATAGTGGCATGATCACTGCTCAGTGTAGCCTCAACCTCCTTTGGGCTCAGGTGATCCTCCCACCTCAGCTTCCTGAGTAGGGGGGACTACAGGTACATGCCACCACATTGCTCAGCTAATTTTGGTAGTTGTTTTTTTTGTTGTTGTTTGTTTGTTTTTGTAGAGATAGGTTATTGCCATATTGTCCAGGCTGGTCTCAAATTCCTGGGCTCAACTAACCCACCCACCCTTGCCTCCCAAAGTGTTAGGATTATAGGTGTGAGCCTCTGTTCCTGGCCTTGTCTGCCAAATTAAATATGCTGGTTATCCATAGGTGTGCAGGTAATGGGAATGTTGAATAAATTCTTTTTTTTTTTTTTGAGACACAGTCTCGCTTGTCACTCAGGCTGAAGTGCAGTAACTCGATCTCTGCTCACTGCAACCTCTGTCTCCTGGGATCAAGCAATTCTCCTTCCTCAGCCTCCTGAGTAGCTGGAACTACAGGTGCATGCCACCATGCCCAGCTAATTTTTTTTTTTTTTTGTATTTTTAGTAGAGATGGCATTTCATCATCTTGGCCAGGCTGGTCTCAAACTCTTGACCTCAGGTGATCCGCCCACCTTAGTCTCCCAAAGTGCTGGGATTATGACACCTTGTTCAGCAAAAATTCTTGATAGTACCTGATACTTTATTTATGTCTTAACTGATTCAGGTAGGATCTAATACAGAATTTTAATTTGGAATTTATTTATACCATTAGAGAAGCATCTAATATATACTTTCATTCAAATAATACCATTCAAATAATATGTTCTTATTCAAAAAACAAATAAAAAATTACTATGAATAGTGTCACCGGCTGGGCATGGAAGCTCATGCCTGTAATCCCAGCACTTTGGGAGGCCAAGGCGGGCAGATCACCTGAGGTCAGGAGTTTGAGACCAGCCTGACCAAAATGGAGAAACCCTGTCTCTACTAAAAATACAAAATTAGCCGCGTGTGGTGGTGCATGCCTGTAATCTCAGCTACTTGGGAATCTGAGGCAGGAGAATCACTGGAACCTGGGAGGCAGAGGTTGCGGTGAGCCGAGATTGTGCCACTGCACCCCAGCCTGGACAACAAGAGCAAAGTCTGTCTCAAAAAAAAAAAAAAAAAAAGAAAAGAAAAAATAGTGTGACCATGCATAAGATGTTTTTCAGTGCTTCCTTTCCTTTTCCTTTTCCTTTTCTTCTCCCTTGCCGCTTTCCCTTTCCTTTGCTGCTGCTGCTTTGTTTTTTGTTTTTGTTTTTTTTTTTTTAAAACGGATTTCTCAAATTGAACCAATGCATCTTTTCATTAAGAAAAATTATTGAATATATTTTTATTTTCAGGGTGACTGTCGTTCCTACAGTTACGTGTGTGGAATCTCCAGTAAAGATGAACCTGACTGGGAATCTCTTATTTTTCTGGCTAGGCTTATACCTCGCATGTGTCACAATGTTAACAGGTGTGTTCCACAGGAGCCGGGGTGGGGGCATGTGTAATGGAAGGATGCGTTTCTTAAGGGCTTTCCATTAATGAAAGACCAAAAGGCTCAAGTGTAGATATAGGCAGGTGATGTAGGTAAGAGTAAATGGCTGTGTTTGTAATTCAAATATGCACATAGGTCACAGTTAAGCAGATATTTAATATTATCTTGTGTTCTGATGCTTCATCACAATGTAATCATCTGTGAAAAAATTATTATTTTTTTGTGATGGAGTCTCACTCCATTGCCAGGCTGGAGTGCCCTGGCCATCTTGGCTCACCGCAACCTCTGCCTCCTGGGTTCAAGTGATTCTCCTGCCTCAGCCTCCCAAGTAGCTGGGACTACAGGTACACACCACCACATCCAGCTAAGTTTTGTATTTTTAGTAGAGATGGAGTTTCATCGTGTTGTCCCGGATGATCTCATCTCTTGACCTCGTGATCCGCCCACCTTGGCCTCCTAAAGTGCTGGGATTACAGGTGTGAGCCACCATGCCTGGCCTAAAAAATTATAAAGGAGAAAGATTTTTATTTTTAGTGTAATACTAAAGGCAACTGTAAAACATATCTTCTAAATTAGTGGCTTATATTAGCTATTGGTTTTGTGGTAATATGTTTTATTCCAGAAGGATTGAAAAAAGTACATCCAGGTTATAGAATTACAAACAGAGTTACGTAACACACACACACACACACACACACACACACACACACACACACACACACCCTACAAAACAAAGAACCCCCCCCTCAAACAAAAATGAAGACTTGGTTAATTTAATAGTAACCCTAAGGAAAAATCGAAGAAAAGAAATAGGCATATGCCAGATAGCATTAAAATAGTTACATTTAAATATATAATTTACATTTTAGATTAATTTTTCTTTAATTTACATATCAGTGTATTACATTGGATATGTCAACAGCTGATTTATAATCTATTTCTAATACTCAGTGCTTCATACCATATATAGTTCAAAAATTCACTTACTTTATACTAGATTGCTAATTAAATGTTCTTATTCCACAGTTATTCACACTCTTCACATTTCTTCATGGGTGTTAGACAGTTAACACCAAAAAGAATTACTTGAGATTTCATTTTACTCAAATTGCTACAGAAATTAGAAGTTTACCTTTTCATGTTAACCTAGCAGAGTCTGTATAGTTAGAGAATAAGGAGTTACAGGAAAGCCACATTTTTACTGATGGAAATATGCTCATTTAAAGGCTTACTCAAATGAACTGAAGACCCCCACGTATAGAAGCATCTTTAATATACTGAAAAATAGAGTTATTAATATCTTCAATAATGGGGGCCAGGCATGGTGGCTCATGTTGTAATCCTACCACTTTGGGAGGCCAAGGCAAATGGATCACTTGAGCCCAGGAGTTTGAGACCAGCCTGGGCAACATGGTGAAACTCCATCTCTACAAAAAATACAAAAATTAGCTGGGCATGGTGGTATGTGCCCGTAGTCCTAGTTACTTGGGAGGGTGAGGTGGGAGGATCAAGTGAGCCTGGGAGGTGGAGGTTGCAGTGAGCCAATATCGTGCTACTGCATTCCAGCCTGGGCAACAGAGTGAGACCCTTTCTCAAAAAAAAAAAAAAAAAAACCAAACAACAAAAAACTTCAATAATGATAAATTTGTAATTGCTTGTTTTGAGTGGAGATAATTATCTAGGTTAGAACAGTGGCTCATAATTTGTCTTCTGAAGAATACTATATATAAACTTCACATATCACACAGAAAATTTCCCTAAATTTAACTCCACTGCTTTTACTATATAATTAGAATATTTCTTCATTCACAGCATTCTTACAGTTTTATCTTCTTTTTCTTTTGCCAAAGGACACACATCCTTGTTTAAACTTTATTTGTATATTCCAGTTTCTCTCTGTTTTCCCTATTTGTCTCTTCCGTCCTCCTTCCTCCCTTCTCAAAAAAGAAAAAAATAAAAAGCCTTATGACCAGCCAACAAAAAATTAGATTTCAAAATATGAACCCAGCAAGCTCTTAAAAGAATTTTGGTGAACTTTAGATTTCTTTGCTAGTTCCAAAAATGGAAGAAAAATATTCTTCCATTTTTGCCAGTTTATTTCCCTAATTTGGATGAGGGAATCTTTGTACAGGAAGGGACTGTTCCAGTTTTACTGTCATATGCAGTGTGGGCGAATACCTGTCCCAGTACATTCTAGTGATTACTCTTGTTTGTAAGAAATAAGAAGGTGAAAAGAACAAGTTCATGGCATTCTCTTAACTTTCTCCTCTCAATATCTTTTATGAGCTCTAGGAACTATATTGTTTAGAAAAAATATAGCTTACTGTCTGTGCATGGGAGAAAAACTTTGCTTCTGTTGCAGTGTTTGGAAGGAGACAATAAAGTAATTGGTGGTATTGGGGGATTTTTTGCTAATATGGTTTTCTTTGGTGTGTTTTACCTAAGTATATATTAAGAAAAAAAGAAAAAAAAAAATAGAAACTTTACCATGATAGTTGCCGGGGAGATTTATTTTCTTTGCTAAAAATAGGACTACCGAAAAGCAATAACTGTCTACTGGCTGGAGTTAGAGTAGGGAGAATTAGCTAAATGGCACTCATATATCTACCCTGATTCCCTCTTGTTTTCTGGGTGAAGACTGTGAAACAGATCCCTTCAAACCAAAACGTAACACTTCAAGTTGTTAAAATTGTCTGATTCTAATTTCCTCTAAACTGTACTCTAGTTAACATGACGATATTTGCATTGTATCTTAATGTCTTTCAGACATTTATATAAAACAGTAATGAATTATTATTATTTTTTTTTTGAGGAAAGTAGGATACAAAATCCTATCTCAGCAGCCTTTTTAATGAGGTACAAATGCGAACCTCTCTAGGACAATTGTTTCTCAAGTAGAGAAAAGAATATGAATAGTCAACTAATTTTGGGAAATTCACTGCAGTTTTCTCTTGGAGATTTCTGGTGTATCTTAGTATATAGTATGTTACTAGTTTATGAAGTCTTGTCATAAAGACACCCATTTTAAAATTTTAACTGTATATTTGTTTCCTAGGACTACCCATAACAAATTACCACAAACTGGGAGGCTTACAACAACAGATGTTTATTCTTTAACAGTTTAGGAGGCCAGAAGTCTGAATTCAGTGTTAGCAGGGTCATATTCTATCTGAAGACTCAAGGGGAGGATCCTTTCTTGCTTCTTTCTACTATCTGGTGGCTGCTGACGATCCTTGGCATGTGGCAGCATAATCCAGTCTGTCTTTGTGTTCACATGACCCTCATTCCTCTGTGTGTATCTATGTATCCAAGTTTCTTGGTACTTGGAAGGTTACCAGTTATTGGATTAGAAATCCAGTATTACTTTATCTTACTTGATTACATCTGCAAAGGCCCTTTTTCTCCCCAGAGATTCTGGGTGGACATGAAGTTTTGGGAATACTCTTCAACCCAGTACATTAAGTGAAAAGAGAGTCATAATAATCACTTATATCTTTGCACATTCTGAGAATATTCCAGAGAACACACTTTGAGGAAAGCACACAGAACACAGACCTTCCTATAATCTTACATCCTGTCCTGTCCATTTGGGGAGTTGAAGTGGGCAGGAGAAGGACCTCAAACTAAGTTGGAAGTGGAAAGAATGTTACTGTTCTACGTGTCTTGCTTCTCATACTAAAATGTAATTTCTACATTTAAAGTGTAATTGTGCTATAATTTTACCTCTTCCTTTCTAGAGTTGTTTATATATTTGGCCCACCAGTTAAAGAACCTCCTACAGATGTTACTCCCACTTTCTTGACAACAGGTGTGCTCAGTACTTTACGCCAAGCTGATTTTGAGGCCCATAACATTCTCAGGGAGTCTGGTAAGTTGCTCATGTTTTTGATCACTACCTTCTGAAACTAGTTTTTGGAAGCTCGGCATTAAGAGTAGGAGGATGTGGCTTTTGCTTTTTAGATGCTTATTTATTTATTTATTTATTTTGAGACAGAGTTTCGCTCTTGTTGCCCTGGCTAGAGTGCAATGGCATTATCTCGGCTCACCACAACCTCTGCCTCTGGGTTTCAAGCGATTCTCCTACCTCAGCCTCCTGAGTAGCTGGGATTATAGGCATGCGCCACCATGCCTGGCTAATTTTTATATTTTTAGTAAAGATGGGGTTTCTCCATGTTGGTTAGGCTGGTCTGGAACTCCCGACCGCCTCTGCCTTGGCCTCTAAAATGCTGGGATTACTGGAGTGAGACATCTTGCCCAGCCTTTGTTTTATTTAAATCTCTGAATGTTCTATGATGTTTCTTTTTTATTTTTTTGAGACGGAGTCTGTCGCACTCTATCATCCAGGCTGGAGTGCAGTGGCACTGTCTTGGCTCACTGCAACCTCTGCCTCCCAGTTCAAGTGATTCTCTGGCTTCAGCCTCCTGAGTAGCTGGAATTAGAGGTGCCTGCCACCATACCTGGCTAATTTTTGTATTTTTAGTAGAGACGGGGGTTTGCCAGGCTGGTCTTGAACTCCTGACCTCAGGTGATCCACGTGCCTTGGTCTCCTAAAGTACTGGCATTACAGGCATGAGCCACCACACCTCGCCGATAATGCTACTTCTTAATAAAATATATTCACCTTTGTGACCATTTGTGGACATGCACAGAGCAGCAGAAAATTTGAATATCCAGACTTAGATGTTCCCAGCTGAGTTTGAACAAACAAGGTGGTGCTCTGCCTTCTTGTTTCAGCTCTCGTAATGTGAACAAGTGTCTTTTTCTTGGTCTCCTTGATGCTTTATCTTTTGCATTTTTATGCCTTTTGTTTCTGTTTAAAATGGATTTAAAGTATAGTGTTGGCCGGGCGCGGTGGCTCAAGCCTGTAATCCCAGCACTTTGGGAGGCCGAGGCAGGTGGATCACGAGGTCAAGAGATCGAGACCATCCTGGTCAACATGGTGAAACCCCATCTCTACTAAAAATATAAAAAATTAGCTGGGTATGGTGGCACGTGCCTGTAATCCCAGCTACTCAGGAGGCTGAGGCAGGAGAATTGCCTGAACCCAGGAGGCAGAGGTTGCGGTGAGCCGAGATCGCGCCATTGCACTCCAGCCTGGGTAACAAGAGCGAAACTCCGTCTCAAAAAAAAAAAAAAAAAAAAAAAAAGTGCAGTGTTGAAGTGCTGTCTGGGTTCCTAAGCACAAGAATGCTGTGATGTACCTTACAGAGAAAATCTGTGTTAGATAAGCTTCATTCAGGCATGAGTTAAAGAGCTGTTGATTGTGAATATAGTGTTAGTGAATATATTAAATATTAAATACAGTGTCTTAAGTCAGAAAAACACATAAAACAAGGTTACATATTAATCACTTGATAAATATATTGCAGCCAGAAGCTTGCAGGAACCTAACCCTCTGTTTCCCCTGGGAGAAATGATTCAGTATTTGCTAGTTCATTGTTTGCAACTGCAAATTATAACTAAGAATAATGAGAATTGACTCTCTCTCTTTATAGTACATCAGTAAAACATTATTGATGTGATCAATTTTTTTTTTTTTTTTTGCATTTGTGGTTGAGTCCACTTAAAAGGCCGTGGGAGTAGCTGAAATCAGTGCATGATGACAGTCTTAACTGTGCTGTATGTGTATATGTGATTTCAGATACTGTCTGGGAGGATTTAATTGAACTGAGTTAGAGTGCTTTTCTATGGTGTGGTGATTGGTTCTATACCTTTCTCTAGGGTATGCTGGGAAAATCAGCCAGATGCCGGTGATTTTGACACCATTACATTTTGATCGGGACCCACTTCAAAAGCAGCCTTCATGCCAGAGATCTGTAGTTATTCGAACCTTTATTACTAGTGACTTCATGACTGGTATACCTGCAACACCTGGCAATGAGATCCCTGTAGAGGTAATTCATATATTTTTTTCTAATGTACATTCTCAGTACCTCTTAATTTTATAATATGGTGAATAGAATAGGCTATGCCAGTGTTGTATTTCTGATGTTGGTTTTCTGTTCATAAGATAGGCCCTTTTTCTTTTCTTTTTTCTTTTTTCTTTTTCACGTATTTGATTAATACACTGGTGCAGATAAATTTCATATGCTCTCCAAATGTTTGATTACTATATAGAAAGTAATCAATTTAATCTATAATTTTATCTGATCCTGTCAATTTCTACTTTACAAATAGTATTCCCCAAATAAAGAAGAAAACTCTAGTAGTGAAGAAGAGTTTGTTAGAAATAAAGATGTGATTTGATAGCTTTATGGCCAGACACCCAATAATTGCCTAAATATTCTGCCTACTACTAATTCCAACTCAATTTTTGATCCTTCTTTGTGTCTACCAGAACATTCCAAAGGAGCTGCTTGCATAATAGCTAGTGAAAAATCAAAGTGAGACTGTATTAGTTGGGGTGCACTGATTTGAGGCTGTGGTTATAGTGAAGTAGCTAGGTTGGGGAATGTGGCTTAGAGTCAGTTTTCTCTTAGGCTCAAATTTGCCAAATTTGACAAGTGAGCAGGCTATATTCTCCTCTTAGGTGCTTGATAATTATTATTACAGTGAACTCTGTGCCACCTTCATGGCCATTATAGTTGTATGTTTAAGCCACCGATAATTTGCAGACAGCATTGGGTTAAACACATGAAATCACATGCTTGGATTCCACAGCAATGTCAAATTGCTATATATACTTAAGCACTTGTGGATCAGTCACAGACACAACTTGCAGACTAGCACCTGTTTGTGGATCACACTTTGAGTAGTACTGAGTTTAAGTCACTAATATTTTAAACTTTATTAACTTAAACCTATCCCTGCAGAGTGGAATAGATTCATTATGTAAGATTAATCAGAAACCATCCCATACATATGGAGGACAATAGTGAAAATAGTCAAATTTTATTTTAAATTATAAATGTAAGCCCTCTAGGACTGTGGGACATGCAGTGGATGCTGGCTCTTCTATATAATCTTTTTTTTTTTTTTTAAATAACAGGTGGTGTTAAAGATGGTCACTGAGATTAAGAAGATTCCTGGTATTTCTCGAATTATGTATGACTTAACATCAAAGCCCCCAGGAACTACTGAGTGGGAGTAATAAACTTCTTGTTCTATTAAAGTACCGTGTGCAGTTTAAATTGATTAGAAATCATTCCCATTGTTGACATGCAGTGCTGTGAAAAGAGTTACTGGAGCCAGCTACATTACATCTGAGTTCTCTGCAGCAAAAATCTACGGCTTAAGAGCTGAGTTGGGGATAACCAAAAGGGACTGAAGAGTTTGTACGGGTAAATAATCAAAGCACCATTGCCTACACTCAGACAGATTGATACTGCTTTTGCCTTTGCCTCACTTAGTCTTTATGTATAAAGTCACTGTTGCTATTGATGTCCATGTGAAGATGTAGGAAGGTGAGTAAGTTTGGGAGTAGTAATAGGCTTCTGTCTCCTTGCCAGTTTCTAAGAACTGTTAGAAATACCCATTATTTACCATTGTTACTTACTGTGTTTATATTCCTTTTGGAGAATCAATTTTTTCTATAAGTAATCTTATTTCTCCAATGGGTGAGAGATGAACATATCAGATAAAGGTATAGGTGGGCTATTCCAGCCACTTTTGAAGGACACTGAGGCTGTAAAATGTAAGCTACTGTAAGATGGAAAGCACCAGGAATTTGTTGATTTACTTTTGAATTTTATTTCACAGCCCTGGGAGGAAGAAACTGAGTGGTCTCAGATGTCTATGAATGGTCTTAAAATGTTTGCAAACCATGTTCTATGTAGATGCCATGTTGTTCAATGTCAGCTTGTTTATTAGTAAGGAGCTTTATCCTCCTAGCTGTATATTACCAGCCTCCTGCAGCCTTGCATAGAAGGTTTCTGTTCTCTCCCCAGAAGAAACTGGCTCAGTGACCTTTCTGGTATAATGCAGATAGAGGTCAGGAGGAGCATTTTAATCTCTTCCTTTGCTGGTCAGAGGAAACAGCTCTGAGATAGCAGAAGCCATGATGCATACCTACAGCTTACAAATAGGAGAGGAAAAATGCTTATATCATCTAGTAAACAGTGGTAAAATGAACTCTTAGATCTAATCTATAGACGTATTATTCGTTGCTCAGACGTCTGTGAACAGTCTTGATCCTTGCAAGATGTTTGCTAAACCTTGTAATCCTTTCTACTAGCTATAAGAGATGATTCAAAAACTGGTGCAGGACTTGTTTCCATTGACACCAGTTTCTAACAGATCTTTTATAACACTCACATAAGTACTGTAAAAATAGATAGTAGTTGACTTAAACTCTCCGTTTCTCTCAGTATTTTAGCTAGGAATGTTACCATGTTTTTCTCTTACCAATTCCATCTCAGGTTGCTGCCTCTTTTCTAGTTTAAAAGGTCAGATCTATTAATAAGGTATGAAATTTTATTTGGGATTCAGTGTTAGATAAACAACAAAATGATGCATGGCAGAAGTCATCTTTTTATTCTGGCTGGTCCCGAGAACAAGAAAACTGCTGCTGGACCAGCAAGGGAAGAGTTTCTGTCTGTCTGAACAGAAATCTCTCCCCAAGACATAGGGGTATTTGACTCCTACAAAACTTAAAGGGTACATTTTCTATCCTGATGAGGAGGTACTCATTATGGCCTTCTGGAAAGAGGGTATGTTAATGATCTGGTCTTAACAGATTTAGAGTCATGTTATTTGAGAGCTAGAATAGACAACCTGTCAAATGCTTACGAACATCAATGTGTCAGTATACATTTATGTTTATATGAAAAAAAATTGCTAGCCAGAGTGTCTTAGGTTTTTGTATTGAAGCAAACAATAGGAATTTTGGAAAAATAGATAGGAAGAATGTGTGTTCCCTAAGTATGTACTAAGGAACACTGCTCCACTGAGAAGGTCTATGTAAAAAGGATTAGGTGGTCATATATGTTTGGGGAAAGTAAGCTCACTTGTCCTTTGTTGGAGATTCATGGCATACTTATATTCAAAACTGAGAAATTCTGAAGTTAAAAACAGTTGTTAAATTCCACTTGGTGTTTTCCTGACACTTGTTTTTTGAACACCTTTTATATAATCCCTACTAATATATAGTTAGTATATACTTCTTAATATAACACTGGCAAAATTGTTTCTGCAAAACATATCTTGACATTACATAGTTTCTTAAAAATCTGAATTTTCTGGAACTCAGAACTTTCCTAATACTTAGCACCCTGTCTTCTTTTGCACAGTGCTTTTTGCTTTGTGCCATATAGCATTACTGTGTACCTTCACAGTATTTCATCTGCGCCACTGAGAAAAGTTAAAGGTTGTACTTCCATTTTACAGTTAAGAAAGTAAGTTCAGCTTAGGCATGGTTACTTAATGAATTTCAGAATTAAATGTCAGGTTTCCTTAGTCTTGATTGCCCTTTCATTGAATGTATTCTGACACCTAACATTATATAAACTTATGGAATGCTGATTTTTGATTAAGAATAGAATGGTGGCTACCTGGCTAATAGCATTCATCATTGGTTATTTTGGGCATATCATGACTTTATTCCCATTGCTTACCATCTACCTGGGATACATTTCCGTTTAATTAAATATATTCTTTTTCTTTGTACCTTTTAGGTAGACAGAGGCAGATCATTGAAAGCATCATTTATTCCTAAGATTGGCAGGCACAGAATCATTTTTAAGAACCAATCTATGATCATCAGCTCTGTTAGAAATAACAGCCTGGCATAATTTCTAAAGACATGTCTTTAGATATATTTAGGAGATAGGGTTACACTGTTTTCTAGTCTTTTTTTTAATCCCTTAATCTTGAAGTAAACTGCATGCATGTAGTCAAAGAAGCATCATAAACGTTTGTTTCCTCACTGTTTGGGCTTATTCTTCTGATAGCCTGTTTTACTAAGTAACTGGACCCTAACCTGTAGAGAATAAGGAGATTCAAATTAGGAAAGTAGGACTATCCATCTTTAGTGCTTTGCCCTGCCATTAAACAACAATATGAACTTGGTCAAGTCATTTCTGTTCTTTATCTGTGACATGAGGTAACTGTATTAAATTTTTAACATCAAATCCAGCCATAAATTCCTATTTTGTGAACAAGAAAAAGCATAGCAGGAAACAGAATGGAGAAGCTGGATAGTGGTTTTTTTAAGTTCTTTTTTTATCAGATATGACACAAAGGGAAACATCAAAATGCATGGGCAAGTCGAATGCTAATTACTTTTTTTTGAACCTGTTGGCAAGGTCTGACCACTTGAGGACTCTTCTGCTGTGAGATGACCCTTGAAAAACACCCATCAAAGTTCTCCTGATAGTAATCTCTCTTTACTGTATGTTTTTTGAAAAGCTGACAGAGAATATGCTTTGGCTTTGACAATAATGAAGTCACCCATCATCACTTATATATAGTTAACTGTTGGGAGCTACAGCTAGAATCCAGGCTATCTTAAAAAGGAAGTTCTCAGTGTGTAATTGACCATCAAGGATAAATGGGCTTTGAAAGTGTTAATCGTCTCCTTACTTAGAGTAGGTGAGTTTCTAGAAATAGCCCTGTCTTTCAGAAGTTCTCTGACGTCCTCTTGCCCAATGTTATAACCACCGTTCCATGCTGCTCCCCTCCAGAAGTCTCACTGATTTGTGGCAAGGACATGCCTTAGCTATCACCCCAATGGGTGCTCCTTTCATTGGCCCAAATCCGAAATGTAGCGGGGAACTGAATACAGGTTGGATGTCTCCACACTTGGAAAGCACATCTTTTGTTCTTATGGAAGTCGTTTAACCACACCAGATGATTGAGGGAGCCTGGGTATCTTTTTAATCACTGAAGGATTTGACAGCAGTAATGGTGGCATTGTTAACTCTTAAATTTCTGAACATTTCACTTAACGGCAAGTGAAGAGATATGGAATCCCCCCAAGAGTGTCAAGATGGTAACTTCCAACCTTATTTTTATGTATTGAAGAGGCCTCCGTGTCTCACTGAACTTTAACCTTTTTGTCAGTGTTTCTCAACCTTGGATGCCTATTATTACATAACCTGAGGAGTTAAAAAATACAATAAGCAGATGTCAAATAAAATTAGAATCGGAAGGTAGAATTCAAGCATTTACAGTTGTAAATCTGCAAGCCAGAATAAATTCTTATTGAGGGCCATACCTAGCCTGTCTTCATCAAACTTACAGGTGAATCTTTATTAAAGCTATAGGAAAGAAATGCAGGCCATAGAGACTGTCTTGCTGAGGGTCTTATAGCTAAATTCAGATCCAGGAACCAGATTCTGGAACTGATTCTACTACCTATATTATGTTGTATGTCAGACACTCCCAGGGCCTGTTAGGTAATATTTAGGACACCTGACATACTTGTTGCTAATTTCGAGATCTGAGCAACAACTGCATAGGCTATTGTTTCAAACTCTTTCTTCTTACTCCTTTTACTTTTCCTTCAGAGAAGAGAAAGCCACCCCTATGCTGTAGCCACTGCTCCAATTCTGACTTTAGGTCATGAAACTGAGACTAAGCTGTTACTGCACCACCACATAAATCCTCCTGTCATTTGGCTATTATTCTTTAGAGAACTAGAGGTTACCTACCTGCCACCTATGTTTCTTAAATTAGAATCATTTGAGTAGTACCATCTTAATTTACTCATTAACATATTTGTGTCCAGGCGCCCTGGTTCACGCCTGTAATCCCAGCACTTTGAGAGGCTGAGGCAAGCTGATCTCTTGAGGTCAGGAGTTTGAGACCAGCCTGGCCAACATGGTGAAACCTCATTTCTACTAAAAATATAAAAATTAGCTGGGCATGGCGGTGCACGCTTGTAATCTCAGCTACTCGGGAGGCTGAGGCATGAGAATCGCTTAAACCTGGGAGATAGAGGTTGCAGTGAGCAGAGATTGCACTACACACCACCCTGGGCGACAAGAGTGAGACTGTCTCAAAAAAAAAAAAAAACAACAAAAAAAAACCAAAACCAACATATTTGTTCACTTCTGAACCCTGTGGTGTCTTTTAACTTTGTTAAGGGCCCTTGGTTAGAAAAATTATGAGAGCTTAGGAAATTCAGCTATTTCTTGGGTATGTTAAGTACAACTCCAAAATCCTTTGAGTTGTCCAGGAAGCCTGAACCTTGAGCAGTATCCAAGTGGAGTATGTATCTTTCAAGAATACAGATTTTTAAGGTGAGTAGTTTTCTGTCTTTGCATCTCCTAAGACCATTGTTACAACCTTGATATTAAATGAAGATGTGAATGTAAACTTCCTTTTGAACATATTTTTTATAAAGAAATATTTTGTTAATTGGAGTAAGTAGTATTGTTATGAAATCACTATGTAATTGTTAATTGTAAACTGCAATGTCTATTTTGTGTTGTAACAATGTTGCCATAAAATAGCTTTGCTAAATGTGAAATGGCTTTAATCCCTTTTGTCTTCCGTATACTTCGTAAAGGAGGAAACGATGATTTTCACAATTTGTCATGAAGCTTCCATGTTTATGAGAAAGTCCAAGAAGTAAGAGCCGAGAGAACAGACATCAGAATAAGGGACATAAGAAATTGCATATAGTGTCAAGGGTTTCTATATAACAACTTACTCTATTTCCCTTACATAGATAGGAGGGATTAATATTTTGCTTAGTGTTAATGGGGGACATACAGACATAAAACATTGGATAGCTTTTTATTTAAATGATGAGCTAAAGGTGTGTGTATACACACGTACTTATAAAATTAAAGTCATGTATGTATGTACACACAGACTTGTGTGACTTCTTGCATATTCATTTACATTTGACCAAATCTTTTGTCATTTCTCAAGAACAAATTAACCTTTGTTTGATACATAAATCAGGTCCTTTTAATTATTTGGAAGTATGTTATCAGAGTTGATTAAATCTGTCAAAAGTAAACGTACTAGTGAGTCATCAATATGAAGATTAGAAGAAATAATCATGTTGAGAAACTGAATTCCATAGTTACTTTCAGGCAGCCATATTACTGTGGTCTGTTTCCTTTCAAGTCAATGAATGCCCTTGCCTTGCCTTCTGCTATCTGAGAAGACTGTATTTAACACAACTATATTTTGAAAACTTTTTCCTGTTTTAGCATAACTCATAACAAAAGTATTAGGTTTTTATCTTGAACTCCTGTATTTCAAACTGACATTCTGCCTCTTAAAAATAATACTTTTTTAAATCAAAAGCTATATTAAACACCACACAGCTGTTTTTGTTTTTGCTTTTTGTTTCTTCAGTAGATTATTGGTGAATTATTCTAATGAATTTATATAGATTATATTCTGAGCAAAGCAGCTAGGAATCTTATGTTAACCTGTTTTAAAATAGTGTGTCAAATTCTAATCAATAAATGCATTTTTTAATATTTCTGAATGTCATTCCATGTGTATCTATTACTATTCTTTAGACATTATGAAACCTGCCAAAACATTCTTTTTTTTAAAAAATAGCATTATTAGAGAAAACTTTTTAAAATTCCCACTTAATATGGCTACAGAAATGGTGTGGAAAACGCAAGAGCCTTTTGTTAAGATGCCTTTATCTAATTGCATTAGGATGATTGATACTCTAAACAAGAATGTTTCAGTGGGCTAAAAATGTATCAAGTGTAAGAAAATCTCATCTTTTGATTCTTTTGGAAAACAACTTCAATTTTATTGTGATTAGTAATGAGGATATAGTAGATTGAACTGCTTATTTATAGTGCTTATTTTGCTTGTGGGAGAGTACCAAGAATAATATATATCATGACTGTTAG